ATATATATATATATATATATGGATATGTACACTAACTCACTTAAAACGTTAGAGTAAGGAGAACCCATAAAAGAAATAATTTGAAAAGGAGCAATTTTCAACTATCTAACCTATGGCCCAAATAACAGCATCATATGAACCACCCGATGAGTGTACCCCATTGCAAACGCTACGGAAGGACACCTGAAGGAAAAATTTGGTTCTTTGAAATCTACAGTAGGAAAAAAACTAGTAAAACCAGAGCAATAGGCACTAACTTGATTCTTGGAAAAACAAAAGACAATGGGGTATTTTTGTTCAAGATTTTCCTTACTTTTAAATTTAATGTTTTAAATACAAATATGTACAAAAATATAAACGTAGATCAAAGTAACAAGACGAAGAGAAAACACGTGAGCCATACATTATTCATACCGACGACGATATCTCAACAATTTCTTTTGTTGTAGTCTTTTCTCTAATAAAAACAACTATACGTATGCTGAGATATGAGCTCCCCAGATCATTCTCGTTTACGGGTGATTGTTGGCAACACCGATAGAGCAAAAACATGACTGAAAGAAAGGCAAAGCAAGGGCCTCAGTTAGTGTATAGGATAGGAAGTGAACCCCGGTAAGGATGATCGCGTGTTCGACCTGAGGTTCTGAATTTTACTCACATCTCACCATCGCTATGGTTGTGTTTCACATCCTACGGCACCATAAAGAAAGAATATGCAGTAAATAAAAGTTAAGAAATAGATAACAGCATCTTAAAAATTTTCACAAATTTTGTCCAGTTTTGGTTAACGTACATTTTCTAACACCTATAAAACTCGTGTAATCTGAACAATCGAAGCAAACATACCTTTTTTGTTCCGCCATCAAGTTCCACATTGCTGACTTCCTTCTCGTAAATTACATTCACACCATGGCACTTTAAATTCTCCATGACCATTTTAACACAATCCTAATAATTCTACTATTCAGTTGCTGTGATTTATAAAACAAGTTTCCCTATCTTATCTTCATGGGTATCAATGTTTGCTTTATAAAAAGTGAAGGACGCTTGACGCAGCTGCTAAGAGTGCTTCGCAATGTACACGTGGTCAGTGGTTCGATTTCGATTTCATAACCCGAGTTCACCAAATTGTCGACTTCGGACGGATGAAAGTCCTAGTGAGTCGAGAGTATGGGATCGAACCCACAACCATGAATTGACAGGAACCTCTAACCGTACGAAAACAACATGGCTGATGTTGAATGTGAAAATGAACTTGATCTGATATACAGAACAAATGTATTGATCGTTCAAATTCCACTTCGACCCTTCAACATTGAATAAAAATTCGTACATCATTTGGCATTCTTTCTTTTAGCTCTCTTAGACTTAGCTCTCTTAAATCCCACAGGAAATCCTTTACTTGAAAAAATTCCATTATGCAAAAGATGTTCATGAACCAATAAACCCCTCAGCATAAATTTTATCTAATAACAGTGGCATGAAACCAAATCGATGAAATCTCTTTTCATGACTTGAATCTGTCGTGACATAAAAATATCTTATAGCAAATTCGTGATATGCTTCCTACCACTAGAAATTTTAACCTTAGGATCTACACAGTACTTTTCTTCGACAAACCGTGCACAATAGAATGTCTCATTTCCTCGACTCCTTTGGTGATTTACAAAGATATTGAACAACAAAGTGATATTGGTGATCAGGATGTCATTCAGATGCATGCATTGCTACTAAGTGGTACAGAAGCTTAATTTCTTGTGTAATTCAACAAACCGTTCCTTAATTTTGCGCTTTATTTCAAATGAGCTATTAGAATCCACCCTATCAGAAAAAAACGAATTTTAGCTAGAAAAAGATCGGGTGCAGGTCAGCCATCTAACAAAGCCACATTCCTGTCATAAAATGGTAGGGATGAAGCCTTGCTAAAAAAACGACTTCACCTGGTCGAAGGATTTCAGAGGTTTCGATCTGATAAGTAGATCTACTGGAAACCCCAGATTTGCCAGCAAACCGGCAGTTTCAAGAGCCACATAACTTGCGCCCACGACCAGGGTCTTACCAGGTGGTCTCGTCATGCAAAACAAGTCATCAGATGTGATTCCTGAAAAACGTAAAGTACAAAAGCGGCTGGTTAATACAATCCACATAGTTTTAATATGTAAGCAAGATCCATGTGGTTCTTTTTTATGTGTTGGTAAAGAACCTATTACTGTATCAGTTCTATTATTATATGGGACATCGAAGTAGAACAGGAGTACAGACATTGAGGACTAAGCGTTTGGCGTTGCCAAATCTTAGGGAGGCACAAAGCATTGGACTCCAACAATCATTGTAAAGGTGGATGGACGCTTATTATGTGCATATATATATATATATATATATATATATGCATATACAATGGCTTGCAGTGGCTATCGATGTACCAAGTTAGTGTTTCTACTCTCCCAGACAACTCTAGTTACAATTCATCGACCCCGTATGGAGTTCACATTCCGCTCTATATTTTTACGTTGACGTAGTTGTTCCTACCTTATTTTGTGTTTAGTCTACGAGAATTTTTGTGAAGACCCGCGGATACCAGAAGCCTACAATTTCATTACATCTGAATGCAATCTAGCACGTTGTCGGCATAAACAAGTAGATTGCATTAATTTAGACTAGTAAAGCGCACCGTAAGCTAGTCTCTGTGTATTTGAAGTTGCAGGTAAAAGTCAATATTTATGAGATTACGAGTCGATAATATTCTCCCGGAACTACAAGGTTAAGACAAACTGCGAACCGTACTCGGAGCCACGAATATTTGGATATCGTGGTCGAAGACCTGTAGCAATGACGATCTTTGGTGCACGCATAACAATCTAAATGAAATAATAACAAAACAACTCTGATTTCTTAATAACTCAAAAGACCAAGTTTCTATAAACCTCGGCACAAACAGTTGAACAATAAATAAGCATATCAACTCTGATTTAAATGAAAAGTCTATGATCACTTCTAAATGGTACTTTCCGCTTCAGTTTGCCCTTCATAGATGAATATTGAATAAGAGTGGGATGTAGAGTGGAAAAAGATTTCTAGACGTCAGTTGAAGAGTAATTCACTTGGAACAATGCAGCTAGGATTGGTCTATAGTCGCCATTCACGATAGTAGAAATAGAATGTGATTCTGTGGTATGGAGTAGTGTAGTGAGTTCGAACTGTAGATGATTAGAGTGTTTTTTTTCCCAAGTTTCTATAAACATAAAATTTCGGATTGGTCGGACTATTAAAAAATACTGAAGCGCAATGGATTTGTTCATTTTGTCAATTAAAAGAAATGAATGTGACGGATCCGCTCCTGTTCGGATCTCTCAATGCTGATGGTAATCACCTTTGCTTATAATACGTCGTACTCATTTAAAAAGAAAAGAGCCCACCTCTAAATAACAAAAAAAAACAGGATAGAAATTTACCTCTGTTTTTCTTTTATCAGCAGAAACTGTTTTAACTGTGTCGTTATTGAGAAATGAAGCAAAAGCCGTGTAGAGTTTAACACCTCTGGATATTGAGTAGAAATCGTTCACAACAGCACAAAGAATTTAAAGCCAAAAAGAATCTAAGTTAAGATAGCTGCTTTCTATATTAAAAGACATACTTTTCATTCAATTGAACCCGGTATATCCAATTATTCGCTTTGATACGATCGTTGACGGCTTGCACCAAAGAAGGCCTTAAAAAGCCGCTGAGGAATTTGGTCCACGAAGGGACTGACAGTTTTCTGTTGTTGTTGACGACTAGGCACTGTGAACTTACCAAGAATGTTCCCCTTTTTCAACGTCCAACCATCCGTATTTCGAAGCATGTTGAATCTGTAAATCCCTTCCTTTACGAAGTTATCAAAACAATTTTAAAAAAAGAAAAGATTTGCAGTGTTTAAGTGATGATCTATTGTAAAACGAAAGAATTCCTCGTCTTTAAGCATATTCACAACGATATAAATTACTTATGACTCACACGTCAAAAATAATGGATCCCTTCAATCTCGACATTAAGCAACGAATGAGTCACATATGACTCACGCAGTGCGAAAATGAAGTGATGCCCTCTTTCATCATAAAGATAACATTTCTCACAGCGAATATGACGGACTGGAAACCCAGAGCACTTGCAGATCTTAGCCAATAAGGTGTAGATTTTTTAGTCTACCATAACGAAATCCTAATCTGTTGAAAATCATAAAAGGTATTCTTTCGCTTTTTCACTGAGATTTACATTTCGAGCAAAGCAAATGGAGCGTCTTCCAGCAGGAACGCTGATGTCTTAAAACGCACCAATGACGTTTACGGTTGTCCGCCCGTGTCATTAAATCTAAAAATCTAAATTCCACTTTTCTTAAGAGCTTGAATCCTGAACAAAATGGTGTAGGACTAAGTTCGAGCAAAATGTTTATCTAGTCTTTAACCCTCTATACAACAGTTACTGATAAGTTATCAACAAAGAAAAGCAAAAACCAGTACCGTCGCGAATGTGGCCAAAATGAGCTCAGAAATCTCAGCATAATAGGGTTGGCCGGATTTAATAATGAAAGTTCCAAAAAAGATTTGATGTTTCCCAAAACGGATACTCCTTTAAGGGCCACCACCTTATTCCGCTAGCCTAATATTAGTATTTAAATAACTTCCTTGATTATCTAAGTTGTGGGGCCATTATCACCTAGATACTTTTTCGATATCTTCAGCACAAAAATCTACTCGTCCTCCTTCTGTGTTTGCCTATGGCACACAGAAGCTTGGCCTCCACCTTAAACGACACTCCGCCTATATTTTTGAAATTTGTGGCCTTGTCAATTTGTCTTTCGATATTTTCACTTTAAGCTTCATTGTAGAAATAGTTTAAAAATTCTTTCCATGCCTATACAGCCAAGGTGTTAACAAAGGAATCCATACGTGTTTATATACTACTAAATGATAAAAGGCTAAAAGATAAAGCGATAGGCGTTGATCAATTTCCGAGGGATGAGCCATGCGTTGGTTTCCATTCATGGCATCATAGAGGGAAATGAATGCATAACTGGCTTATACAATAACTTGCGGCAGCCTACCGATGTAACAAGTCATTGCCGCTATCTTCCAGACAAGCTCGATACCAATTTGCAGTCCCCGGAGGAAAGGAAGGTTTGAGGACCCTGCGCCGTGAGATCGAACCAACGATCACGCATGTATTTCAGGGCATCTCAATAGACATAAAATAGCGTTAATGCTCACTCTAATGCATACTAGTGCTCTCCAGTTTGCAATCTCGCTCTATTTAAACAGCTGGTCCATCATCTATCACTGTCCTCACAGTCAGTGTGAACTGTATATACTTACTTGATACTTGAACGGCCCGTCCTTACTAGTTGTGTGGGCTCCAGTATAATCACCATCTTTTGGAGATTTGTTGGTTGAGCCATTGTGGTTCCCTGGAACCCCGAGGGCAGGCTGGCCAAAGTCTGCCTCACGTTGGCACCACCACAGGTGGTTGCCGCCCCTGCGGATCAGAAGATTTGCCACCATGCGACTTGGATACCGGGACGGTGGCGGATCCTGGTATTGGTTTACTCTTAGCTAGGCTTCTTGATGGAAACGCCGGACTCCTTCTCAGCTTGGGAGATCCTGCCAGGGGGACGAATCCTCCCGCTGTAGATCGTAGTCCTACACCCAAGAACACCTCCCAGCCACGATGAGGCGGTAAACCGTTGGGTGGATGAACTGTATATTCATGCAGCAAATTCCAAGACCAATTTCCTGTTAACCTCGGCAGTGGTTGATAATTCACAAGCAAATATAACGTTGATATTACAGAATTTATTACCATAAAATAGCTGACGTTTCGGGGGTTCATCTTCTTTACAGCTGTTTTATTCTTTGCAAGTATTCTAACTGGTAGAGAGCGGCTTCACATAGTAATACATGGACGAGGAATGTACGTGTATACTCATGGTTAACATATCTCATTACCTTCATTCGCAGCACCTAATCACTTACAAGAATGCTACCAATTTTCACAACTGATTCATATTCGGTTACCCGAGTACACATCTATCCGTTGGTTGATACAGGCACGTTAGAGAGCTGGGCAGTGGACCACACCCCCTCTGGATATATTGGAGCTCCACATTCTTTCGTGCAAACAAGTTTGTTTTACATGGTCCTTGGCAAAAGATATCTAGTGCTTGTTTTTCTGTCCGGAAGTAGAAGCAGAGTGTGCTTGTTGGAAATTGCGTGAACTTTCGAGCATCGAACACTCCAAAGATTTCTGGATTTTGACCAAAGCGGGATGCAATTTTCAAAAATCTAAAACGAACATCGTGCCCATATATGAGTATATGAATACGTAACCTCTAAACGAATCTTAAGTAGTAATAGAAACAGAGAACTTCTGTCATAAGTTTAGTTTCACCCCAAAATGTGTAGAGTATTCCTTTTAAAATTTCTCTATCTATCTAAACGGTCATGTGCTTCATACCGGTTGGATAGTTGTCTCGGAGCCACTATCTCATGTTAAGATGCGATCTTAGTGATCTGCCAGGTCACCTACGTTCAGTTTTACAGGTAGTTGACTGGGTCACATGGCATCGGTGGTTCAGTGGTAGGATGATCCACTGCCACACAGTGGAACTGGCTTCGATTCCTAGTCAAAGCGTCATAAAGAGGAGGATGCTACGCGATCAAAATTGCTCGCCATGTGAGTGATGATGGTGAGTTTCCCACATGGGTCTTTTGATGGTTGTGATTTGTTCTCCTCGAACATAGGTAATTAAACCTTTATATATGAAACAGCGACATTAATAACACAATAGTAACGACGGAAAAATAATGGTATAAAAACAAGGCAAGAGTAAAGCTATGACACTAGATCTACCAATGGAATGAGGCCAATAAAAAGCAATTGTATTAGAATATTATTATAAAACTAATATAATGATGAAAACAATAAATAACTACATAACAACAACAAGTATAATAGTTAGCAGCAGGTCCGGCGGTTGATAGACAATGTGACTAGGCGCAAAGGACCAAGATGCACGCATGACGCGGAGGAAAGGAACCAAATATGGCTTAGCCAAGCTAGAGCCGCAAGGTCGTCAAATAGGAATAATCAACTGCATGAGCAATAGTAGAACGACGAGATAATTGATGAGCATGTACGTAGGCTTATGTACGGCGACATGATCAATAATCATCAAGAAGGTATCCAATAAAGAGTGATATCGATAATCAGCAGCTGGGTACGGCCAGGCGACGTGAGGTGACGACGATGACGCTATGCCTGCACCGAGAGATTTGCACTGGCTGGTGTAATCATGGGTGAATATATGATATGTGACATGGGCCAGCAGGACATAGAGCAATAGCATGACATGCCGACCAGCAGCCTTACACGCTACAGCGTGTATGATATAATGGATATAGGGATGGTTACGTACCCACCAGTGGCAGATCAGGCAGAACGCAAGTTCAATGTTATAAGACGCTACAGCCAATACTGAAGTGAAGCTTACAAAGGGTAATAAAAACGATAAAGTTCTCCGCGTTGATCAATCTCCGAGGGATGCACCATGCACTCAACTTCATTAAGGATCGTTGGAGGTGATTGAATGCACAACTGGTTTTTACAAGAACTCGCGGTGGCCTACCGATGCATAACGCCAGTGGTGCCATCCTCCCAGACAAGTCTGGTACCAATTTGCCGACTCCAGAGGGACGGATGGCTTGGTGAGCTATGCGTGCAGGTATCGATCCCATGTGTATTGCAGAGCACCTCCAACCACTGCGCCACACACGTCTTTAAAAAGATTGTAGTATTAGAGTATTACTACAACACCGATACAACAATAATGGCAACAATAACGACATAACAATAGAGCGACTAGTTAGCCATGGGCAATGCTGCATCCACACCATCAATGGCAGGTGAGACGGCCGAGAGGCATAGTGTGCAAGACTCAGACGGCCAGAGTGTGCATACGACGTAGACAGAATGCTCAAATTACGGCTTACTTAAGTCGGAGCTACAAGGTCTTACAAACTCATGGTCAAATAAGAATGATGGACCACATGAGGAACCGTAGAATGAAGAGACAATCGACAACCATATACATAAGCCGGCGCATGGCGACACGATAAATAATCAACAATTAGTGCTCAACAAGTAGTGGCGTCGATGATCGGCTGCGGTGAATGGCCAGCCAACGTAGGGAGCGATGACGTTATGTCTGCTGCGAGAAGCATACACTGGCTTCTGCAACCATGGGTCCACGAGTGATTATATCATATGTGACATGGACCAGCAGCGTCATAGAACAACAACATAATGTACCGAGGAGCAGTCTTAAACGCCACAGCGTGCGTAATATAATGGGTGTAAGGCCCATGTCATGTTGGGTGCGTGTAGCACAGTCGTCAGAGGTGCCTTGCAATACACATGGGATCGATTCCCATACCCCAGGCTCACGAATCCTTCCATCCCTTCGTGGTCGGCAAATTGGTACCAGATTTGTCTGGAAGGATAGCAGCACTGGCTCGATACATCGGTAGGCCACCGCCAGTCACTGCAAAGACCAGAAATGCATTCAATCAGCTGCAACGATGCTTAGTGTAGACGAATGCATGGCGCATTCCTCAGGGATAGACCAATGCCTAGAGCTTTACCCTTCTTCTAAGGCCCATGTCATATGCTACGTAATCACTTATGGTTACAGCAGCCAGCGCAAGGTTCTCGGGGCAGGCATACCATCATCGCACCTGGGTGTAGCCGGCAGCCGATTATCGAAATCACACCTTATTGAGCACATTATTGATCATGTTGCCGTACGTCAACCTACGTACATTGTCAATTATTTAGTCGTTCTAGTATTGCTCATGCAGTTTACTATTCCTATTTAACCATGATTATGTAAGACCATGCGGCTCCGGCTTAGCTCAGCCGTAGTTAGTTCCTTCCCTCTCCGTCATACGCACACTTTGATCACCTGCGCCTAGCCACACCATGCCTATCAGCCGCAGCACCAGATACTGATGGTGTGGCGAGGTTCCGGCATGGCTAAGCACTCGTTGTTGTTATTCCATTATTATTATTACTATTATTGTTAATACTATTACTGTATTAGTGCTGAAGTAATATTCTAATACTACTGCTTTTTATTAGCCTCATTGCAGTAGTAGATGTAGCACATCATAGCTTTAAACTTGCCTTGTTTTTGCGTCATTATTTTTTTGTCGCTACTATTGCGAAACAGATGAGCCAGTCACGTAATGAGAAGAACAGACGACAGAAGGACGAAAAGAACAATAGAGTGGACTCCAAGAGAATACAAACGTCCCATTGGACGACCATCTACAACTTGTGCGGACGTGTTCGTAAACAAAGTTAATCACTTGTACCAGCAGCTGCAGTTGTCTTACAGATCACGGTATGAGACTCGCACGCGCTACCATGCTTGAACAAGACCATCACCATAGACTGCGATTGTGAGAGAAAGGAACGAGTGGCGTATGTGCTGGGGTCTGCACAACTCGTGAAGACGGACCGTTCAAGTATCTAAGTAAGTAAGTATTGTCTTTTAATGTCCTTATTATATACGAGGTATAATTGTCCAAGTTTGAGTTTGGTAAATCACAACAATCAAAAGAACCGCGTGTGGCAAACACATCACCATCACTCACACGGCGAGCAATTCATTGCGCAGCATCCTCTTTGAGTAAAATACACAATCGCTTTTGCTCCATGCTTACTTAGCCTATTAAAATTAATATATAGCCTCGCAAAAGAAGTTCTATCTGAGAAGGTAGATTGAAGGATAAAGGACAAAGCTCTCGGCGTTGATCAATCGCTGAGGGATGCGTTATGCATTCGACTTCATTACGCATCGTTTGGAGATGATTGAATGCATATCTGGCGTTTACAATGACTCGCGGTGGCCTACCGATGTATTGAGCCAGTGCTGCTATCCTCCCAGACAAGTCTTGTACCAATTAGCCGACTCTGGAGGGATGGAAGGCTTGGTGGGCCATGGGCGAGAAGATCGATTCCACGTGTGTGTCGCAGTGACGCCTCCAACCACTGCGCCACACGCGCCCTTGGAAGGTAGATTAGTGGAATATTATTTGTCCAAATCTTAAAAAAAAACCCTCTTACTATACTTGTTCCATTTCAAATTGCTGGTCTTGGTGAAAAGTTGTTTAGACTTCATTCGGTTCACCGTACGTGATAAAGGCTCGAAGTTTACATTCTCAACCATAGGGATACGAATAACGTTACATCTAGGCACCGGTTCTGGTAAAAGGATAAAAAAGGATAAAGTCCTCCGCGTTGATCAATGCCTGAGAGATGCGACATTCATTCGACTTTATTAGGTATCGTTGGAGGTGACTGAATGCATATCTGGCCAAGTACTGCCATCCTCCCAGAAAAGTCTGGTACCAATTTTCCGACCCCGGAGGAATGGACGGCCTGGTGGGCCATGGGTGCGGAGATCGATTCCAGGTGTGCGTCGCAATGGCGCCTCCAACCACTGCTCCACACGCGCCCTCCGATGCTGGTATTAACTTTTATTTAGTGCCTATTCTTTTTTTATTACAACTCCCCAGATCACTCCCGTTGACCGGTGATTGCTGAAAGCACACACAGAATAAAAAATTGGTTGAGAGGAAGGCAAAACAAGGGCCTTGGTGGTGTAGTGGGTAACACATGAACCCCGGAAAGGGTAATCACGGGTTCGAAACCCAAATGACCTTCCAATCTTTGCACATATCTCAGCAGCCTTATGGTTCCTTTACTTCGGCTTACAGAGTTCCCTTAACTGAATGGTTCAACATTCTGATCGAAAATCCAGCAAGAGTAAATCAACATGCCAAGACCTCGATCCCCATGGTAGAGCTATATGAGTTTTAAGTGGTTAACGTCTCGCTGAAGACTATAAATAGCCTTATATCAAAAAAAGTGAGGCTTCTGGTGTTGAGAGCTAGTTTACATGTACCTAGTCGAGTAATTCGATGGCAAAAGGGATTACAGATGGTGAGAAAGGTTCTTCTTAAGAACTTGGCATTGCCATATCTCTAGCAAACACAACTAACTTCCTTGCTTACAATTCCGGCGTGATGCATGAGTTTCTTCGGGATGCATCCCACATTCGCGCACGTTCCCCCGATGCCCCATGTGTTACCATGTGGACTTGGCAAAACTCCATCAACTAAGGCAACACGAGCACCATGTTCTCGACTGCAAACATGAACATATTCCCTCAGAGATAGAATTACAGACAATCTAAAGAAACTCACGAAAATCAAACCATTCGAAGTTTCAGTGGTAAATCTGGCTTAGCTAAATACATTTATACAAGTATACAACCCCTACTAAGGTAAAAAATATATAACTATCTGAATTAAAAGCTAGTGGAATCTACACATCTTTCTACCTCCACATACGGTATATCTACCGCGTATGGAGGTCAACGTCTGCGGTAGTGGTTATGTGAAAATGTAGTTTATGGGTCATTATATAGATCTATAGATAATATTATTTCGATAGTGGTACCACCAGAATTGAAGATATTACTAGACACGATTTCATTTGCCGAACATACTTCAATACGACCATCTGTTCTCCCTTCTTGCAATTCATGTCGCAACCTCTTTTTGACTTTTAACTTGGTTGAGGTGTTCTGAAACTGTCCCTTGACTTACGCCAAGTTCTTCCGCTAGAAAACGAATCGTCGTTGTCTCAACTAACATGTTTAAGTGGTAATTGTCGAGAGCAGCAGATCAGCATTAATCCTCAACATCGTCAGAAGTCTCAGTTCCATCGTGAAACTTTTGAAGCCAACGTCGGGGTGCACAATCGTTCGCGGTCCTATGTACGAATGTAACCCTCATTTTAAGCGTCGTCTAAGTGGTTTATAGGCTTGACATCATAAAGGAGAAAAATCCCAATTTATGCTCTTTCTGCTTGCTTTTAGTCCAATAACCTAACCTAGCATGAAAAAACGTGTACTTTAAAATAGTGTTTTAAAACAGAAGGTGAGTGAATAGAACGACATGAAACAGTATTTGAAAATGAACTCTCAGAATTCAAAAGACAAACAGTATTGAGTTCTCAAACAAATTACTGATGGTTTGAGTTTCGTGTATGCTAGACCCACTGGATTTTCGCACTCTCATTTTTGAAACTCACGCGGCTTTCGAACATGACAGCCCAGCAGAACCACCACCAATGACGATCAGGTCGTAGTCGAGGATAGTTGACACTAGAAAGTTAGTAGATGAGCGAAATTTACTGGTGGTGAGCGTCATTGAAAATATACCAAGCCAACATAATAAACTCCTTTATAGCAAAAATTTGTTTTAAGAAAAGGCCAACTTTTGAATAATGTAGAAGCTTCGATAGAGAAACGTGTCTCAATCTTAGCACCATCGCATCTAGTGAAAACAATAGCTGCAAAAGAGATTTTTATCATACGGTAGTGCAAACAGACGTCCCTACTGTATATCAACACTGATGTTCAAAATTTAGGTAGACCTTTACACTAAAACCAAATAGTAAATGCCACGACCGACTTTCTATTAACCTCGGCATTGATCAAGTGATTTTCTTCGTATTTTTGTTGAGCAAACGCGAGGTGTTACTATTCTTTGTTCACGATTAAGCTGACGTCAGCTTAATCGTGAACAAAGAATAGTAACACCTCGCGTTTGCTCAACAAAAATACGAAGAAAATCAAATAGTAAATCATTGAGAAGACTTGTATAGATGCGATGGTAGAAGAGTCGCGTATCTGGCATTATCAAAACATTTCGTGTAACAGAGCTCAGCGTCGGTCCACATGCTTCCACATGGTGTGTCTTATTTCGAACTTATATTCTCATAACATTTAATTAACACACAAATGAGAATATGCCAATTGCCTTTCGAGAAAACCCCGGTCTTACATACACCGTTTGGCCTGATCTTCTAAAATATTCTACGAGTTGTAGAACAGGATCTCCACTGCGTTGTTTTCTTGTTCATTAATCGCGAGGTTGTTACTCATCATATATTTCACTCACATCACTTGACACTTGACACTTGAACGGCCCGTCCTCACTGGTTGTGCGGGCCCCAGCACAATCACCATTTACCGGAGATTTGCTGGTTAAGCCATTGTGGTCCCTGGAATCCCTCCCGAAGTCAGCCTGGCCAAAGTCTGCCACAGGTCTTCACCACCACGGGCAGTCGCAGCCCTTGTGGATCAGAGGGAGATTTGCCACTATGCGACTTCGATACCAGGACGGTGGCGGATCCTGGTACTGGTTTACTCTTAGCTAGGCTTCCTGATGGAAACGCCGGACTCCTTCTCAGCTTGGGAGACCCTGCCGGGTGGACGAATCCCGCCGCTGTACATCGCAGTCCGACACCCAGGAACACCTACCAGCCACGATGAGGCGGTAAACCGTGGGGAGGCATACATTTAGCTCCATACAAAAACACACAATCCAACAGTAGCTGACGTTTCGGCAGTATCGCCTTCTTCACAGCCTGGAAGGGTATACTGATATACAATTTACCAAGCCAAACGCTTCAATAACACTTACAAAAAGGCGAATGCAGTCATCAACCATCTCCGACTATAATCAGTTATTCTTCCTCAGTGGAAGTGACATAAAAAACGATGGGTTTTTCGAGGAGCTATTGATCATGTAATTACCATAGAGATTTTCACCTCTTTGTACGAAACGTGAGCTAGTGTTGCATTGAATTTTCGTATGGAATTAAATGTATGCTGAATAACAACCTCGCGATTGCTGAACAAAGAAACGACGCATTTATAATCCAATGCTGAGGTTAATAGAAAGTCGATCTTAGGAACTCTAGTTTTTTTTGGTTCGTTTTCTATCCTGTACACTTATTTGGAAGGTAACTATTGAAATTCTTGATTTTCCTTCCGTTTGAAATCATCATGAATCATCCCACTCGTTTAAACCTCACCACAACTAAAACTATTCCTATGTGCACAGAAATAATTCACAATTTCAAACACACTTTTAAACAGGCTGACACTGTGAAGAAGCAAGTACTTTTTTCATTTGATTCGTTCTCCCGTGACAGTCATACTCGAAGATCTTCGGATTTGGGTGTAGGTTGTGCTGCTGCTTAAGAATTTTTTTCTTGTTTTTGAATGTTGGTGAATACTGGTGGCATCGATTCTATCTGGAATAATGGGATAGATGTGCGTTAGTGTGGCGATCCGACGAAATCAGCTCTTCCTTGACGAGACTAGTACACATTTCCTAACTCCGGAAGAATGAAATGCTTGGCGGACACTCAGCGAAATCGAACCAGGTCTTTGCTCACAATGAATGACACCGCTACCAGCCCCTTCTGACTTTGAACAAGCACATCTAGTGCTTCGTTTGTTTTGACATTCATCAACTTGAGTGAAAACCACTACAATCTACGTCTCTTTGTAAGCAATAAATAATTTTTGTTCTATCGAAATTAAAACTTGGTTTTGGAAATCCCCCAAAAGACTATCATTGCGTCGAAACCGACATTTCGAACATTAAAGTGCTTCAACAAATCAAATATCGTCCACCAGGACAAAATGATGTCCCACATTGCATGGGTAATGTTTGCTACTACCGCATTCCCCCCTAACAGTTCAAACATGGTGAGGTCGTGTCGAAAATTTTCAAGATTTGAGCTTTAAACAAAACTTAAAGCTAGCACTGCGGAACGGTTATACAGATCGTAAGAGCAATACAGCAAAGTGTCTCCTTTAATTCTCTCAAGTATTTCAATACTAGGAGTTGTCGAAAAACCACTATTGTTCACATGTGAAGCATAAAAAATCAATTTTGGTCAGTACTTGATAGCAGTTTTATTTCTGATGGATTATGGATATTGTATAGAATGTATGGGTATAAAAGTACTGACATACAATCCACATCTGCTGTGAAATCAATTATAAAATTGTTTTGAACGCTCTTTTGCATCATGCGTAGGAGTTCTAAGTGTTTCAAAAGCATAGGAGAGTAGATAGAAGAACTTAGAAAGAAGTAAAGTAGAAAAATCCAAATCATCGACGAAATATGGAAAGAGAAACAAAACTATAGAGGGAAAAGTGCAACAAAGGGTAGAGTTATTTGCTAGGAGAAAAAAGGACCGGTATGAGTTGGTATCAACTCGTAAAGAAGGCCACGAAAAATGGGCCAGACGGTGAACAGATGCGGTGGATACACGGATATTGGCGACAGACAGTAAGTGTTAAACGTCCTTTTTGAATTTTACATTATGCTGTTAGGATATCCATACGACCAATATGGTTTTCCATGTGGCAAATCCTAGGAACGACTTTGTTTTAACCCTGGAATTACAAAATTCTTGATGAGGAAACACTTGATGAGGTTGGTATTGCAGCATTTATTAGCACACAATAGCTGATATTTCGGCGGTTTCGTCTTCTTTAGAGCCTGGAAAGTCAAACTGACATGCATTTTACTCAGTCAAAACACTTCAATCTCAACAGACAGAACTTAATACTTAAATTGTTACTCACATGATGAAATGAAATATGGTTCGAAATGAAAAGCAAGATAAACGGAGGAAATAAATGCGATTATATAGCGTTGCTTAAAGAACAGGTGTGGAGAACTCGGTAATGGTGACTGAAAAACTAACAAACACTCTCAGACGCCAGCCAGTTCTCAACCGCACGTATGGCCATTTACGCATAGTACAAAATTGCATAATATGCCCTAACGGTAGAGAGGGTTATTGCATGAGTTCGGGTCCGATTTATACATATCCTCGTAAAGTATGTGAGGACAAATACGTTGGTGAAACGGCTAAACCACTCCGCGTCTATTACAAAAAACATTTGGTAAATTTAAATTGAAGTCAAACATCCCAATAAATGCAGAAAGGACACAGGAACATAACGAAGAAGATTTTGAAGTAAAAGCACTATCGTCGCACAGAACTCCAAAACACGAGTGCGTTAAACTACTAAAGTGTTCCAGATAAATTCCAAAAATCCAGAATTGAACCACAAAGAGGAGTGCCTCGTGATCATCATTCGTGACTTAGCGCTGTAGCTCAGGCTGGTTCTTTAACTGAATTAGGCATATTCCTCGCCAAAGCAGTAGTATGTGCGGCTGGTTTTCACCAAATAACCGGAAGACTTAAAAGGGCAAAACGGTAGGTTTTAAAAAATGTGTTTCTAGGTGAATAGGAATTTATGTGTTAAGTTTTGTCTGCTTAGAGTATGAAATTGTTTGACCGAGTTGATTAGATGTCATTTCGACCTCCTCAGGTTCTGAAGAAGGCGAAACCACCGAAACGTTGGATATTCTGTGTTAATAAATGCTGTAATACTAAAACCGTGTTTGCTTATGAAGAAAAACAGTCAGTTATTGACCAACGCCGAAGTTAGAAGAAATTCGGACCTAGGATTTCAGACTTCTCTCCTCTCAACCAAGAAAATTGTAGGACGACCGTTTGGCCCAAAAATGGCAGTTGTGCAAAAACCTTCGCTTAGTGTTGATGTAATCAGTTTTCAAGACCTTTTTCAACACTTTTCTATACGTCCTCTATTTCACATCTACTGCGATGATCCAAGGATTGCATGCGATTCGTTTCTTCCAAACAACGACCACAGACTTCGGCTGCTGCTTGACGATTTTCCTTTCATTATGAGTGTCGTTGAATGCTGGTCGAATCGATCATCCCTGCAGTTGCGAGATAGCCGGGCTAGGAGGTCCTTAGTTGGAGTGCGAAGAGTGGGGACAAGTTACCTGACAAGTCCGATACCAGTTTCCCAACCCAGGGGGAATGACTCCGTCGTTGCTCACCGCCCCTCCATAGTTGAGGTATTTTGTGAATCCTTGTTTTATGGACTCTTCCGAGTTACTTCAATGATTTACTTGCTCGCGGACTACGACCCTCCTCCCTCGTCGCTCGTACTGTTTCGAGCCTTATGGAGCGATGTTCGCGTCCCTTGCTGCATTGTGACGTTCAGGTGAATCATTGGGACGTGGCATCCTGAGCTGATCGCTCCGCCAACACCCCAATGTCCCCACTTGACTCCTCGGACGGCCATCATTATCACCAAGAGAAACGCTGCAGCGTATTCCTCGCTGTTTTGAGTTGGTATCGTATCTTTCATTCAAAAGTTGCAGAGAAAAACTGTGTCTTAGCAAATCTCGAAATCGAATGCATTTCTCAGCACATTCGAAAACGAGACGCCATGAAGAACTAGAAAACTTATTCCTTTCGATAAAATTCGACGGAAAATTTTTCTGCCACGGTAGAACACAGATCATTTCGACACCAGATAGCTTTATATACGCACTTGGCTGCTAACTCATTTTTGTTGAATTTCTTTTGGACAAAGCCTTGAGTGGAACCACTGGGAGCACAACAACAACTGCAAACAACGTGTTTTCAAATTAACTGCAACGTTGATAAAGTCTGCTATTGAATTTAAAGTATTTATACAACAAAATCAAGACAGCGAAGTTCTCAGTGATGTTTCCTATCGTTTCTTTTTTTACTTCTTTTTTTTACTTTGATAGTGACCCAAGAACACGTTCCGAACGGCAATTCTTCCATTCGATTTGTACCTTTTCATTCCTCATCGTAAAATATTTTCGAGTTTGCTTTTATGTTTTGCCACTACCTGAGTGCATAAGTGTTGTCCAAGAACACCGTTGAATGCTTAGTTGATTCTTCTTAAATCTCGGGATAGCCGTGCTAGAACGTTCCAATGTCTTCACCATAGAGAGTCGCCAGGCTTTGTGGATGTTATGGTGCGAGCCGACCCAAAAGAATAATCCACGACTTTAGCATCCATCGTTTCCTTGAGGCGTTTCTCAGACAAAAAGTTGTTGAGATGTCTGGAAAGTGATAATCAATAGGCAACGAGTCTGGCGAATATGGTGGGTGAAGTAGAGTTTCATCGTCCAGCTCGTGCAATCTTTGTAGCATCGAGTATCGCGTCGGTAAATATATATTAATTAGCCATATCGAGGTTGGATTTATGGGGCTATTGTTACATATAATACGTCCAGGCTCTGAGGAGGGCGAAATCGCCGAAACATCAGCCAACGAACAACAACAACAACAACAACAACAACAACAATGACGACAACGATGAGACGATGAGAACAACTATACCAACGTCGAGTCAGCTAAACAAGGGTGGTTCGTAAGAACATTATAGATAGGTCGATCTTTTGAGTTAATAAGAAAAGCTGTTTACTATGCGAATGAAAATTTACGCATCAAGTTCTGTCTGCTGAGGTTACGAAAGCGTTCGTGCCGAGTAGACTGTTTGTCAATTTGCTCTTTCCAGACTCTGAAGAAGGTCGAACCACCGGAATTACAACCTCGTATTTGCTCATCAAGGAAGCGTAGAATTAATGCGATTTTGTTGCCATTAAAACAGTCGAGACGAAATGCAGTGATTACAATGCAGGCATAGGATATATTCGAAGATATGCATTGATTTAAACACATTTTCATTCAGGACCTCTATTTCCTCATATTCAGATGCTCCTTTCCACAAATTTTTAAACGATCGACAAATTTGCCACAGATTATCAGGTGTCGTACGAGAAAGACATTTTGAACGTTTCATAATTTCCAGGAAACAATTTGTCCCAAGAGTGTGAGAACAGAAGAAATATGGACGTGGCGAGGTACTCTGCGAATCTGGTAGTACCGATTGTAAATGGATAGTACCACGATGGCACTAGACCTTCTTCATTACATAGAAGTGTATGAAAATGTTGCGAAAGCATGTAGAAAATAATACAGAGGATAAGTAGAACATTAAAACTAGGAATGAGAGCAAAAAATGCTTCGAAAGCCTAATTAAAGTGCGAGAAACTTCGAAAAATGTTTGGTCACATTTTTGAGAGGGCACGTATCGGACTACAAGCATGACTTTCAATACAGAGCGCATGTACCGAAAAAACTAGACAGTGTGTCAAATGTGTTAAACTAGTAGCTTCAAACTAAATTAAATCTGAATTAATCATTTTAACCGACGAATCCTGAAGTCTCCAACTCTTCAAAATGAATGAAATTCAAAGTTTAGCAAACAAAAAAAAGATATGTGGAGGGCACAATGGTTCATACTAGCACTTCTAAAGCAACAGACTCTAAACACTAACCTGTGCGGGTACCAGTTGTGAAGCTTGCCTTCTGTAGAAGCCACCGGTGCATCACCTAACGTCCTTCAACTCCTAAAATCCTGAATTCCTCCAACAGCATTCGCATGGACATAGATTAGGATTCGTTCTATGTTCCATTGTCACTACTTTCATTCTATTTCTGACTCTGATGATTGTGTGCAACAAGTGCCATCCCTGTTCTCAACCTACTTTTTCAAATTGTTCATAACTCTCCCTTCTTCAAAAGTGTAGGGATTCTCAAACATTTATAAATGATCTCTCAGTCTCCGGGAAATGAATACGGAGCAACTTCTTGTTAGCAGAGTTATTTGTTACTTACAGCTTCTTCTTAATGTTATCATCTTATCAGGAAGTGTGAACACGCCTATTTCTAATATAACATTTTGGCCACAATGTGACTTCTACGGAGGTCATTTATAATGGGGCACAGTGGCTGGTAAGAGTTATACCCAAGTCATTATCTTTCAGGTTTATTTTGGTACACAGAAGATTTATCCATACTTCCCCATCTGGTAGCTTATTCAATGTAGATCTGAAACCGGAAGTCGTCCATGAAAGGGTGTCTTATAAATAATTTCTCATTTTTCGGCGAGGGATTAATCCGTTGAAGTCTGTGACTGCAGTGTGGCGAGCGAAGATGCGCAGGAATGCCTCTACCTCGAAGTACTCGCATCGCATGCAGTGTGCAACACCACTTTTGATAAGCAATTCGTTGTTTTCCATTTTCCATTCGCTATTATGACTTCTGGGTATTTTTTGGAATGAGTGGATACCAACAGGATAAAAGGTGACCTTCGTAACACTCCTTGCAGAATTTACACAACTTTATTAAAGGATTACACCAGTGTAACTGCAGAGTGGACGACTGTTTTTCTCTATACACAGGTGTTGTTTATGCACCAATAACATAGTAGTGTGTATAAAAGGACATGTAGCATAGGCGATATGAGAGGCTCAGAAATTCTCTTTAAAAACGATAAAGAAGACCCAATTTTACTACAACAATCGGGCGCAACTTCCAAAACTCGGGGCATTGCGACCTCCATAGGGCTCATAGGGGCGGACAAAACACTGTGCCCCATCCCGTGGGCACCCCACGAGAGATAAGGCGTCGTCGCGACAATGATAAATATAAAAATCAACAACACAATACATACCACCCTTACTAAAAAGTTAATCATTTAAAGTTTTAATAATTATCATAAAATCCAAGCATCATTATTGATAGTAGCAAATTTCAAGGACGAGTAAAATAAGCACTCAACTTACTTTCATTAGTAAACATCACTTTATAGAAACCATTTACTGATTAGGTGATTAAATGGAACCAATACATCTACACAAGGACTAAACTGAAAAATAGCGAATCTAGAAAACAAAACATACATCTGAAAAAAGGAATAAATCAGCACTATTGCCGCAGATGCTGGCAAAACAAAATTTGGGCCAAAAACATCACAATACGGAAGATATAATGAGGATAACGGTGAAGGTCACCTTATATCTGAAGCTGCTTTGTAACAGCTAGTACTCTATCTAGATTGAGCAATTTACTATAAAAAATCTCTTCTAAAACCTATTTCAATTGGAAGTTAGAAAGAAAAATTCTAAGTAGTTAACGAACTGCATCTGGCCGCAATTCCATGGTGAAAATCAACGGTGCCGACGTCTTCACTCGCAGAACATTCTCTTCAATAATATTGGATGTGCTTACCACGCCACCAAACGCCATCTTCGCATCCTCTGAATGTCTAGCTGCGATTATAGCGGTATTGTCTTCCACTGACCGCTTACTAATACACACCATGAAAAGACAATTTCGTATTCCGCACAGAATATTCCTCACCACTATCTCTATCCCACGGTGTACCCTTCGTACAATCATTGTTTACGAAGAAAAGCCGAGAAACGGGGGAAATAAGCGAAAAGCGCTGATTAATGCAGTTGAAAAAGAATCAAAACCACTGCAGTAATCTCCACAATTCCATACCTTTCTGCTTGATCTCATCCTTACAATTGTAAACGCTGTCAACCTCAACTTCATGTACTTACATTCTTACATCACTGATGTGTTGAATTTATTCTGTAACCTTAAGCGTTCGATCCCAACTTTTTAACAAAGTTATAGTCTTACAGAAAAACCTTGGCCCTATCGCCCAAGGTATAAAAATAATTGGAGAAAAGCGAAAGTAAAACGAACGGTGTTCATGCGCTTCAAAAGATTACTATTCCATAGGCGGATAAAGTTTAGTATAAGCTGGGATATATTCGAACAAAACTGTACGGTACAGTGATTTTCGAGCATATGATTGTATACCTCCCATCGGTTTACCGCCACATCGTAGTTAGGAGGCGTTCCTGGGTGGCGGGCTGCCATGTACAGCGAGAGAGTTCATCCTTCTGGCAGGGTATCCCAAGCTGAGGAGTGCGGCGTTTCCATCAGGAAGCCTAGCCAAAAGTAAACCAGTACCAGGATCCACCACCGCCCTCGTATCCAAGTCGCATGGTGGTAAATCTCGCTTTGATTCACACGGGCTGCCACTGCCAGTGGTGGTGGTGACCTGGGGCAGACTTAGACCAGGCTGACCTCGGCATTCCAGGGAACCACAATGGCTTAACCAGCAAATCTCCGAAAAATGAAGATTATGCTAGGGTCCGCACAACTAGTCAGGATGGGACGTCCAAGTACCAAGTAAGTAAGTGATCGTGTAAAGTGCACATTGTCCGCTATGGGTCAGTAGTTTTGTAACCGCTTTATATTGTCGTGTTATTTATATCTTGGGGTAATTACGCAAGTCTCATTGTGAAATATTGCGTTTCTAGACTGTATGAAATATTTCTTCTACTAATTGACATTGAAGCTCAAATACCAAGAAGCTGAAAGAATAAATTGGATTTTTCTACCGGGTACGATTATGTAAAGCATAATATGGACTCAGCCGTAAACGGAAGTTGAACACTCAACTTGTTTTATTGAACTCTAGAGTTATTATGTTTAACGTTTTGTTTTCTGCCTTCTATAATTTTCATGGCAGGTTACTAAGCGAAATACAACCACAACGTTGCTGAGATTTATTTGCAAAACTCTGGACCGCAGGTGTCTATGGTGGGGAACGAACGCGCTATTATCCTTTCCGGGGAGTAACGCGTTCACCATAGCTTAACTGGGTTCTATGCCGATTTGCGCTCCCCAGATCAACCCCGCTGACGGGTGATTGCTGTGTTCAGTTAGCTGTGAATGATGAGAATTTTATAGCAGCATAACCATAATGATGAAATGCGAAACAAAGGACCCGCATGGTGTGGTGGTGAACGCGTTACTCCCCGGAAAGGATAATAGCGCGTTCGTTCCCCACCATAGACACCTGCGGTCCAGAGTTTTGCAAATATCTAGAGTTATTATTTGCAGTAAACTTAAATAAGTTTAAAGTCGTTTACAAATACAAATACTTTCTTAATTTTAACTAATTATTTTCTGCCTACTTTTTTTAATAGCAGGGTAAATTGCGAAATATAACTTCAATGATGCTGAGACATTTGCAAAACTCCGGACCGCAGGTGTCTGCGGTGAGAAACAAACGCTCTATTGTCCTTTCCGAGGAGTAACGCGTTCACCACCACACCAACGCGTTTGATTATAACTATGGCCTCAGCTTAACTGGATTCAATGCCGATATGGGCTCCGCAGATCAATGCCGCTGATGGCTGATTGCTGATGGCAGAGATTGATAGAACTAGCTAAGAGACAGACGAAACGAAGGACTCACATGGTGTGGTGGTGAACGCGTTACTCCCCGGAAAGGACAACAGCGCGTTCGGTCCCCACTGCATACACCTGTGGTCCAGAGTTTTGCAAATATCTCAGCATCATTGAAAAAATACTTCCTTTTACGCCCATGAATGTCACCACATCTATTGCAATAATCCCAGCATTTCTTGCTTTCGATTCGTTTTCCTGGCATTTATCGTCCACAATATTCTCCAAACAAAAAACAATTTTTTTTTTCGACTGCTGCTTGAGGATTTCGTCTTCTATATGAATGTCGTCGAACGCTGGTCCAGTCGATTCTACCTGTGAAGATACCTGGGCTAAGACGTTCCCATGCTGACTCAGGAGTGGGGTATTCAGGAGGTCGAACCAGAATCTTGCCTCTTAATTGACTGCGTCACTAACAACTGCGCTGCCTCCATTAGTAGTAAAATATGAGTTCAGCAAAAATGCTTTCACAGAAGGCAAACCCTTTGACTGCAAGAGTCGCAAAACGCGTGTAGTAACAGATGATGTTCCAGAGTTGAATAACATAAGAACAAATATGTTCACAAGTTTTCTTGTGATTTAATATCCAACAAAAAAGAGCGCTCAACAAAGCATAAGCCAGTAAATCGTAGCAGGATCTTCTCTTCGTGAATAATAATGGTTCCATCTTTACACTAGCATAAGCTCCTACTGCTACTGTCACTTAATGAGGAGATAATAGATATTTGCAAAACTCTGGACCGCAGGTGTCTATGGTGGGGAACGAACGCGCTATTATCCTTTCCGGGGAGTAACGCGTTCACCACCACACCATGCGGGTCCTTTGTTTCGCACGTCTCTCAGCTATTTCTATCGTTAGTAAATATCTCAGCAACGTCGTGGTTGTATTGCCATGAAAATTATAGAAGGCAGAAAACAAAACCTAAAACATTGTGATTTCAACTACAGCCATAGCTTAACTGGGTTCTCTGCCGATTTGCGCTCCCCAGATCAACCCCGCTGACGGGTGATTGCTGTGGCAAAAAGATCGATAGAAATAGCTTGAGAGACGTGCGAAACAAAGGACCCGCATGGTGTGGTGGTGAACGCGTTACTCCCCGGAAAGGACAATAGCGCGTTCGTTCCCCACCATAGACACCTGCGGTCCAGAGTTTTGCAAATATCTCAGCAACGTTGTGGTTGTATTTCGCTTAGTAACCTGCCATGAAAATTATAGAAGGCAGAAAACAAAACCTTAAACATTGTGATTTCAACTACAGCCATAGCTTAACTGGGTTCTCTGCCGATTTGCGCTCCCCAGATCAACCCCGCTGACGGGTGATTGCTGTGGCAAAAAGATCGATAGAAATAGCTTNAAGCTATTTCTATCGATCTTTTTGCCACAGCAATCACCCGTCAGCGGGGTTGATCTGGGGAGCGCAAATCGGCAGAGAACCCAGTTAAGCTATGGCTGTAGTTGAAATCACAATGTTTAAGGTTTTGTTTTCTGCCTTCTATAATTTTCATGGCAGGTTACTAAGCGAAATACAACCACAACGTTGCTGAGATATTTGCAAAACTCTGGACCGCAGGTGTCTATGGTGGGGAACGAACGCGCTATTGTCCTTTCCGGGGAGTAACGCGTTCACCACCACACCATGCGGGTCCTTTGTTTCGCACGTCTCTCAGCTATTTCTATCGTTAGTAAATATCTCAGCAACGTCGTGGTTGTATTTCGCTTAGTAACCTGCCATGAAAATTATAGAAGGCAGAAAACAAAACGTTAAACATTGAGATAATAGAACCCGCGGATCCACAAGAAACATGAATATTCGCGTTTGAATACGCTGTGATGAGTTGTGGTTTTCACGACCTTTGGTCAAAAGCCTACACAAAATTGGTCATATCTTTTCGATTTGCAAACTTTTCGCTAACACCACACTAACTTATAACGATATGTTATGGTAATGTGGCAATAGTAACGTTCCAATGGGAATTTTTGACATTGCTTTGTCAACACAATTGCTTTGAAAAGTTTTACAAACCGAGATTCCAACGAAATCCACTCATTGTTACAGCCGTCGTTTTTTGACAGAACGGAATTACACCACAGGTACCAGTAACCAGATGCCGTTCAATTTCGATACAATGTTCTCCCTGCAACAGTTACTCGTTAAGGAATAGTTCTATAAAATACAAATCTAAACAAGCTGCACTACTAAATTAAAAACGTTAGAACTAAATCGCGGACGGGATTGATCAGTAAGAACGGTAAGAAATCTGAGGCTTAATCATCTCTATCGCCTTTAACGCAGTTAGTTATCAAGTAAATCGAGCAGTGGCACCAGTACTCCTGTCACTATAACTTCATTGATTTCTATTTCAAGACCGACTTTCTATTAACCTCGGCAGTGATCCAACAATTCCTTATACTATTGCTAATCAAACAGGTTTTACTTTATTCTTCATTGACGGAAAGGCTGACGCTTCGGCGGATTTTGCCTTGCTCAGAGATTGGAAAAATCTGAACTGAGTAGATTGCGGTCAACTTGACCTTTCCAGGCTTGAGGAAGGTGGAATCCGTCGAAACGTCAGCTTATCCCTCAATAAGGAATGAAGTAATACCTCTTTTTTGTTCAACAAGAATATAGATACAACCACAACGTTGCTGAGATATTTGCAAAACTCTGGACCGCAGGTGTCTATGGTGGGGAACGAACGCGCTATTGTCCTTTCCGGGGAGTAACGCGTTCACCACCACACCATGCGGGTCCTTTGTTTCGCCTGTCTCTCAGCTATTTCTATCGATCTTTGCCACAGCAATCACCCGTCAGCAGGAATGATCTGGGGCGCCCAAATCGGCATAGAACCCAGTTAAGCTGCGGCTGTAGTTGAAATCACAATGTTATACCTTTTTATTTTCTGCCTACTATAATTTCGCGGCAGGGTACTAAGCGAAATACAACCACAACGTTGCTGAGATATTTGCAAAACTCTGGACCGCAGGTGTCTATGGTGGGGAACGAACGCGCTATTGTCCTTTCCGGGGAGTAACGCGTTCACCACCACACCATGCGGGTCCTTTGTTTCGCCTGTCTCTCAGCTATTTCTATCGATCTTTGCCACAGCAATCACCCGTCAGCAGGAATGATCTGGGGCGCCCAAATCGGCATAGAACCCAGTTAAGCTGCGGCTGTAGTTGAAATCACAATGTTATACCTTTTTATTTTCTGCCTACTATAATTTGGTGTGGTGGTGAACGCGTTACTCCCCGGAAAGGACAATAGCGCGTTCGTTCCCCACCATAGACACCTGCGGTCCAGAGTTTTGCAAATATCTCAGCAACGTTGTGGTTGTATTTCGCTTAGTACCCTGCCGCGAAATTATAGTAGGCAGAAAATAAAAAGGTATAACAGAGTATAGATAATTTTTTTGATTTTCATTTCACAAAGTGACACATCACCCACAAAAAATACTTTCAAGCCGGCCATGTTGTTAAAATATTGATGTGAGAGCACCAGAAGGTTGATGGAAGACTTCTTAACAAACTGAAAATATTTTCGGAGGACATTATCGTTGGCAGGTTTCGGTTCATTTTTTTTATTATCGGTTTCTTAGCAGACTCTACAAACAACAATATTCAATTCAAAAATGGATCTCAAATTAAATCTTGTACACCTTTGTTATACAGAGAACCACAAATCACTTTCACTGGAAAAAAAAACTGTAAGGTCAAAATGACTGTGAATCATGTTCAGCTTAAGAATTTATACGGCCTTGTCAAGGAATAAAGAAAACGAAGTTCCAAGCGCCGAGTGTATTCATATGTTGATTCATTTAGAAACTGATCAAAGCAATATTGACTTCATTCAACCTTTTTTGCCCAGATTCGTAAAAAATGAGTCGGTTTATTCCATTCGTGGCCAGTTTGTAACAGTTTATCGAATAATAAAGGATAAAGCTCCTGGGTAGATCAATTCTTTAGAGATGCGCCATGCAATAGCCTTCATTAAGCGTCGTTTGGAGGTGACTGAATACATATCTGGCCTTTACAATGACTCGCGGTGGCATACCAATGTATCGAGACAGTGCTACTATCCTCCCTGACAAGTCTAGTACCAATTTGCCTAACCCGGACGAATGGTGGTATTGGTGTTTCACGAGAGCGGGGATCGATCCCTTGTGTGTTGCAGGGCGCCTCCGACCACTACGCCACGTGCGCCCCATCGAATAAGGGCACAATTTTATTTGAATGCTAAGTGTTCACACAGGACGTATATGCATGTTGTAGCATAGATGTACGAGCCTCATCAAGAACAAAGGTAAGGTTTTCTCCATCAAGGCAATACACTTCCTCATCCATTAACGTTGTAGCATGATACATCGAATTTATCGCAGCTAACGCATGATCGAAACGACCAGAAGTTCCACCAAGTAGCACGACTCGAGATCCCTAAATAAGACCAAGCATTATTAAATGAACACATTTTGGAAGTGTTTTACCAGTTATATATATACAAACGTGCAGACCTCATTAAGAATAATGCAAACTCCAACACGCTTTCATTTAAGCGACGTATCGCTGATCTGTGAAAACTTTTCTCTTGTTTTTAGAGACTTATGTCAGGATATTACCAAGTCATTTTCACACATAGTTTTGGCTCTTACAGTTCGGAGCCTTTTACATCTACTAGGTTTCTTCCAAATGGCAAGAACTTCCAGTGTTAGTTCAGTTTTCATTGGGTTTTTAACCCAGACGTTGAGTTCATTATAGGCTTAACTGAGTAAGCTTCACTTTCTGACTATAAATCAAGCGAATGACATATGAGTTCGTAATAAAACTCTCTATAGAATCTGAACTGGAAAACAAAACATGTTCAAGATTTTACCGGTTAATAAAGGCACTCGATAGCTCTAATACTCGCCAAAGAAAAACACAATGCCCACACTTATATTAATGGATTTACAGAAACTTATTACGGAAAGCGCTTTATTGTGGCTAAGGTTTAAATGCTTTTGTCTTCAGGATCATCAGGGCCGCAGAGACCCGGACATCGAAAGTGTCCACAGCCGTTCATTCTTCGTAGTCACTTAGAGTAGAGTTCAGTCTAGTAAGAGAGCGTAAGAATGAGGCAATCACACTAGGTGGACAATCCATCAATAACACACCCACATAAAAGGTCAACACCGAAAATCAGTTATCAAAATCAATTATTGTATATTTTGTTTTCAACACTACCTGCACTTCATTTTTCACAAACAATGAAAACCCCAGTTGAATTGATCATTGGATTCCTGCAATGAAAGAAATATCCAGTTCAACTTGTTTTTCACTGCATCACCACTTTTCCCTAATCAAATTGGCCTTGTCTCTACTATTCTGAGCTGGTAAGAATGAACTAGGCTAAACTGTTTATGAACGAGAAATATCACCTCCACTCTCTTACTTTTATTCAGTACCTAAATATTGTGTAATTACATCTGTTAGAATCATCAAAATAACCTACATGAATAGCAAATGAAGGATCTTTCAATTACACCTTCTAGGCTATCACTTCACTACATTCCACCAACCCTGATAGTTTACTACATCCTATCTTGGACAAACGATATCCATTTGAAAACACTACAAATTCCTTGTGTGGACGACATTACACTTGATGATGTGGACTAGTGTACTCACACATGTATAAAACAAGAAGACAGCAGGAAAACTCTAGTTTTTCAACATGTACACAGAGATGATAGTAGTTAGTTAAGACAGAAAATAACTTAACTGTAAGCAACTTTTGAAATTTTGTGCGATGACCTCTAAGCATTTAGTAAGATCTGTTTTGTCCTGGTCTGGTGCATGGATTAACAAAGTGGTTAGCTTTAAGCTGTCCTCTACTGCAGGCAATATAGAATCCATGTCCCCAATGACGACATCAGGCGTTTGGAGGTTTATTCTTCAAAGAAACGATGAAGAAGTAATTCTTCCACAACCGACAGAATAAGACATTAAGGTTTGATTACCTGTCTACAACTCTGTTAGCACCTCCATCGGTACAATAACGTCTTCTGGAGATGTTCCACAATGTGGTCCAAATCGGACGCTCACTTTCCGCAGCACCATTCAGCCATACGCAAACATTATTAGCTTTAAAAGAAAGTTGAGAATTTTCACACACCAAGCAAACAAAAATCCCAAGTTTCGTACCTAATAATTGCAATGGTTTGCTAGCATATTAGCACATCAACCAACCACTACTTCCATCGTTCCATCCTATTTAGTAAACTCTATACAATAAGATTCTCCAAAATACTACCCATCCTTGCTGCTAGTTCTTATGCCTTACAGCATTTTACTAAAACAATTATATGACCATTAATTCTACAGAAAAGCGCTACTTTCGACACAAAGGATACAGTTCTCGGTGTTGATTAATCCTTTAGAGATGCTCCATGCATTCGACTTCATCACGCATCGTTGAAGGTTACTGAATGCATATCTGGCCTTCAAAATGGCTCGCGGTAGCCTACCGATCTATCGAGTCAGTGCTGCTATCCTCCCAGATTAGTCTGGTACCAATTTGCCGACCCCAGAATGATGGATGGCTTGGTGCGCATTGGGCGCCGGGACCAATCCCATGTGTACTGCAAAGCACCACCAACTGCGCTAGTCTCGATGTAAGAAAAGGAAAGCGGACACTAAACTCTGTTTCATGGCGAATTCCCTACATGCTATAGACCACATGAGAACAAGTGAATCTTTAATCAAACAAATAACTACGAATTTGCATCTAATAGGATATCTAGTACCAACCCGGCTTCAACAGACAATCAAGTGGAGAACGCCGTCGTTTCATCTGCTCTTAAAAGTGAAAAGGTCTTTCAACGCTCTCCGAGATATGGCATGCTTTTTCAATATTGAAGACGAAACTCACAATACAATAGAACAAGTCTTTAATAACTCTTCATTTGTTCAGCACAAAGCACAAACGCCACATGACACCACCATAAGATTGCTAAAACGGAATTATGTTAACTAAAGCTCATAGCCATCAGCGAAATAGACTATAGAAATTCCCACACTGAAGCGAAGAACATGAATACACCACCATGAGGAAAAAATCGGCAACACCAACATGAAAATTGCGTGAACTGCTTTCCTAGTTGTCAGCCACTCCACAAGGGAACAAAATCAACAAGATAATCTCTAATTTGGTATAGATCTCACATTCCGCTCTTCTATAGTAAGTAAAATGATCACGGAAAGTTGTTGACATTTAGTAAAAGAAAAATAGTTGAGTAGCAGTAATTATTACTACATTAATGCGAAGGTTAAAGGAAAACAAACGGACAGATCTCTCAAACCAAGTGGAAAAAAAGCTGCAACAAACCTAACATTGCATGGAAAGGAACATTTTGACACACGTAGAGACACCACGACGGCATATATAAACGACTCATACCAACTATGAAAACCTTGCATAGAATACTTTAGAACTATTTTTGATCAATATATTTAAATCCAGGTTACAAATTTTCTTCGGCTTCTTTCTCTTCCTCGAGGATTTTTTCGAACGAGAACGGAGTGAACATGTGACCAAGGCCTCCATAGAACTTGGACTGGAACTCCACCCTAGAAAAACCGACAATAGCTACTCATACTTTAAAAGAATACTTTCACTCGGTTCATAAGTGACAAATCAGAAGCTAAACTTCTAAGTATTTACAAAGTAATATGACGAGAACTTTGCACTTCATTGACTTCACCACCTAAGGCTTCCTCCTACGTATACACATCAGATCAGTGACATAATACTATGCTTTCAATTATGTTAGTGACATGTTAAACTAACCAGTGAAGACGTAAGGCGTGTAGAAACGCCGACAAGCCTTCCATCAGCACCAAAATAAATAAGGATAGAGATCCAAATATAAAGAACAGGATATATGTAGCCAATGCTCCATAGTAGCCGTCGAGTTTAAACGCATGACGAAACACCATGGTCCACAACACGTCTGAGAGTTCTGAGAAAAAGGCCTTAGTAGTACGGAAACAAGAAAATGAAAGACGTATGCACTATATTGTAAAAAAGAGTGTTTCCAAACAGTGGTTGAAATATATTGCAAAATCAAACACGCCGAAACTCTTTCCATCCCTCTCTCTATCTCCCTAAGACTATACAGAAATACGAATATGAAGATGAAGGATAAAGGATAAAGCTCTCGGCATTGGTCAATCCTTGAGGGATGCGCTATTCAATGGACTTCATTAAGCATCGTAGGTGACTGAATGCATATTTAGCCTTTACAATGACTAGCGGTGGCCTACCGATATATCGAGCCAAAGCTGCTATCCTCTCAGAGAACTCTGGTACCAGCTTGCCCGTGTTGCAGGGCGCCTCCCACCACTGCGTTACATGAGCCCATTTAAATATGAAGATAACATTCAATATTTAGAGTCGGACGCTCAACTATGCGTAGTTCGTTCGTGAAACAGCGTGATGATTTTTGGCTTCTTGAGCTGTGCATTGAACAAAACTCATGCATCTCTAAGCAAGTTTTGAGTATATTTCGTTATTTTTGCGCACCTTCTATTCTCACCCATATTTGAGTATGACAGAGTCGGAAAACTCTGATATTCTCAAAAACAAAATACGTAGTATTGAGCGCACTCTCAGTTCCCGCAAAAGCAAGTACGCTTCCCACTAGCGAGAAACCTGCCGCCTGCCCAGCGAACGAACTCGTAGGACGAACTGTTCTACATAAAATAGGGATGTGTACAGAATAAATTTTGTCGGCTGATACCTAGCAAATCTCCTGTGGTGAGTAAACTATCGATCAAAGATAAAAAGCACGGTCAAAAAACTGCTCTGTACAGCAAAACAAATATCAGGAAAGAAAGTGAGAGCTCACGCCAGATATGTAGGAAAAAAAATCAGTCTATATCGCCTTTAGGTGATAGAAATAAATATGGAAGACTTACGTGCATGCGCAAGAGAAAGAGCCCAAAGACGTAGGTAGGATGCTGTGTGTGATATGGATCCAAGCACAAATTCAATCGTATGAATCGCCTGATAGACCATAACTTCACCGAGTTCGAACTATAGGAACATTGCAATAGAGTTGGTCAGGAGACAAAATAAAACACTATTTTTAACGAAGTAATTGTATTCTAGCAAAGATACTTTGAATGAAAATATTTAGAAGAGGCAAACAGCTGTGGAACTTCTTGCGCGTATTCCAAACGGTGAGTTTTAAGTATTAAGCACTTCTAAGACATCAAACACCTCACTATGAGTGAACTGTGTAGAAATTCGGAAACTCGTAAACCCTAATCCACGACCTTATTAAATCCGAAGAAATAATTTAACCACTTTTTATCTACCGCCTTGTAAAAATATAACCACAAGGATGCAGAAATTATTGCAAAACTCCGCACCAAGGATGTCTGCGGTGAGGATCGAACCCGCTACTACACTGTCCATGAGTTAAAGTCTGAATCTGAGGCCGCAACAAATGCATTTTCTGGGAAACTTCCTCCGAAAAAAGTTGCCTTTTTCTTAATTTCCTTCCCAAAATTTTCTCTCACAGACGTGGCCAATATAACCGGCTCACCGGTTCCGCTCCATGTCCACCGTTGTTTCCTGAAGATGTCGCTAATGTTTTCGGTTCCGTATGCACAACTTCCGCATCGTCTCCATTCATATCAGCTCGTACGCTCTAAACAGACAATGGTTCTCCTTTACATAACTGAGGTTAATCACCAACACCACCAGCACAAGCGGATACGGATCAGACATGCATCTTGGTTTAACAGGAAATGGAATGAAAGCAACACACAGATGCTCCACAGATATAAATAGACATATGAAAGGAAAAAAGCTCTCAAATATCAACAGTGAAACAACACAACACAAACAACAACGAGGCAATTCACGAAACAATTTCACAATGACGGTAAAATTTGCCTTTCAGGTAACAAACCGTAAGCAAGAACTGACCGGTTGAAGAGCGGTGGTGTTGGTGGTTTCATTTACACACAAATCTTTTAAAATTGTATTTATTATAATAATGTCAGACACGGTTTTGGATGAAGTAGAAATAACAGATCGCGTTTAAGGACGATGATGACCCGAAGAACCATCTTTCAAAAAGTAAGGCATAAAAATTAATAGGCGAACTACAGTAGCACTGCGTTGACGTAACAACACTTTGCAATAACGCACTAGTATACTAGACCCCATTTTAGAAAATACCAAGGGGTTCTACTTAAGCAACGGTCAGATTTTATTGCATTTCGATTCTTTTATATCACACAGCGCAGCTCCAGTAATGGAATGTGGATGTTAAAGTACGATGTGCAACGGTGTTCGTACCCAACGAGGCCCAACCAATCTCATGAATTGCATATTTATATCCGCCACCCAGGAGTGGATTTCTAGACCCACTATCAACCCGAAAAACCTAGTCAAAAGGAAGCAAAGCTCGCTGTAATCTAAAAAGGCTAGTGAAGTGCGCTGTACGATCTGGAAATGCCTCGCCTCTGTTCTTTAGGGACTCCAAAGAAGTCAAACACCGAAAAATCGATATGTACCAAGACTTGCACGACTCTCCATGAAGGAAGTACCATTTAACACTTTCGCGACGATTTTACTTCCTTAACCAACACCAATAATTTTTCGGAAAACAGAGTATGTGGGAACCTAGGGACTTGACAAACTTGTGTGACATAAATGGTCCTACTCCTATAAAAGCGCATATATATATGTATATAAATATATATAGATATATAATTTCACCTATAGTTTCATTTTCATCAAAATTTATGAGAACTGAAACTTCGAAAAAACTAAAAAAAACCATGTTTTCAAAATTCTAAACTTCATTACAGGTACCGCAAACAACAAGGATTCTTTCGAGAACTAGCGGACAAAATCCGGTTTGTTCTTTTACACACTTACTCAAAATAAAAGTAAATTTCTTTTTTTTTGACAAAGTTTTAAGCATTCCAAAGTACGAAAATTTGTGTCGGAAGAAGGAAGGTTGTCGGCAAAAACTGTAGACTCCAACAATTTTAATCTCCACAAATAAATATTGAGATTTTTAAAGAGCTTATACGTTAAACTACTATCAGCCATACAGGAGTCATATCGTCGCGAATGTGTCAAATATCCAACGAAAATCTATTGAGATTTACCAAATCAAAAAGCAGTTTCATAGTGCGGGTTATTGGCTTAGGCTTCCGATCTACTTTGTAAAGTCCGAGAAAAAACTAACAGAAGCAACCGGAACAGAAGGGAAGCACACACTCACACTCTTAAATTTACTCGCTTGAAAGTTTATGAGAAGGGACAAAACATGGTTAACCAAATTTCGTCGATTATAATACTACAAATGAATACGAAATTACCTAACGATTTTTCCCCATCAAATTGAAAGATATACAAATTTTAGCACTTTTGTATCGCAGTACGGACCTCATCGCGCAGTGAGTGGTAGTGACCCTCTGCTGCTCGATTACGATATCGCAGTATCAACGGCTTGACGAAAAGCATCAGAGGCACTTGCACCACCGCTAACACCAGCAGAACTTGCTCGACGATCGCCTGAAAAGCTCGGCTGCTCACTCCCAAGACACGGATGTATAAATGGTATAGAAAGAACTAGGAATGAACTGCAAGTGATCTCGATTATTTGCAAATCCGTGTCAAGGGTAGTGGTAGTGTAATTTTTGCCGTATTTTCTAAATTTGCAGCCGGCCTATAAATGTTAGTAAATGTTTCCATGATTTACGATGTGCACACTTGCACACATCACTAACCAGCTGCCTATGACCGGACTCTCGACGTTCCTTATCCGCTTTCCACAGCATGTACGGCTTCGCGAACAGCATAACGGGTACACATGCGATCGCTATCAACACAAATAGCGTTTGAAAAAAACCCTAAGATCGCAAGATTACACATCGAATAGATTCAACATCAACAAAATTTCCACTGTTGCGGCCTAAAAATATCTCAATGGGTTCTAATCGCGTCAGAAACCCAATGAGAACCATATATTATACTAAACTGATGTTTTTCCTCTGCAAATCAGTGAGACTAAGCTGGTCACCGCTACTATCCATTAGCTGCCGTTAATACGCATCACCATCTTTGGCCCACCCAAGTCTCGATATATACAGGAGGATCTCGCAGAATTCTCGCCGAAATAAGTCTGAACACCGGATTCACACTCTTTTGTCAGCTAGTCCTTGTATCATCCAAGTTAGCTTGATAAAGCGCTAATGATTGTTCGACTTTCCCTGCTACTTCAGTAGGGTTTAGTTTCTTCGTACATTCAAAAGACAGGCATATAGCCGGCTTTAACTTTCCGCTTGACTAAATCATCTGTGCTCTTGTAAGCTCCTCAAGCCGTCTGTATTCCCGTGTTCAGCTCTCGAGCTGGGACGTTCATCAAGTCAATTTCCCAACCTATTCTCAACAGCTATAGTATTCGGAGATCTCGTTTCATGGGGTATAAATAATAATCACCAACAAATCCTTCAACTAAGTCAAAACAAGCTTCTTGAGGTGCAATTGAAGACCAGTTTTCTACAGGTGTTGTTTATTTCCGCTTAGTCAATGGGCTGTTGTTATGACGTTAGAAACAAAACCATGAAGAAAGCAAAAGGATGTGGTTCCCAACAATCGGTTTTCGATTTCATGTCATTCTATTCCAGTATTCGCACAAGGTTCATGAGGGTGGTTGTAAAGAACTTTGGTGAGCTAGTATCGCTTCGTACAACCGTTCACCTTACGCTAAAACAGTGTCACCGTAGAATTCTAAAATTTTTGTTGGCGGGTTGTTGTATAGCTGATGGAGTTATATCACTGTACTGCTCTTGGTGAACAGAGTTTCTACAATCACTTCCTTCTTAGCTACATCAACGGTCCCTTTAAATTGATAGAAATAAGAAACGCTGTCTTTATTTTCGCGATACATTATAGAGATTCATTATCGTTTGGATTTGCGCCACCGTCGTGAGCCCTCTTTCGTGCCTCATCACATGGTCGCACTTTTTACGGTTTTGAGTGAATTTTGCTGTTAGTAACTCAAGTGAACAAACTTTAAAGCAATAGAAAACTGGCTGATCGGACAATCACTCCTGACTAAGTGAAGATCTTCCTTTCTACAAAACAATAAATTTCCGCTGGTTTCCATTTATTCGAAAACTTTAATTCTGGTACGACACCTGTAAAAAGCTGAGAAACTTAACGTCATATTTCCCATCTGAAACACCTTCTTACGAAGCATCCAGCCAGGTGCGAATTCCACAGTTAAAGAAATTCGTAGTGGAAAATTATGTGAAGAAAATTATTAACTATTGGCAACAAGAAATAAAATCCACAGATACCTGGCCGGGATACCAATGGTTGAGGTGGCACTGAAATTTTTGTTCCCCGTCTGCTTCAATGAATCCTGAGTCCAACGGTTTCATCATGAACATATTGATAAGACCAATCAATAACGAAGGCGCACAGTTCGAACCAGGGTATTTATAACCAAAAATCGAATCCTGTGCCTACATTTAGCATACATTTATAAATTCTCACAACTCGAGACAACCATCTTATGGTTAATCAACGGCATATATAAGACCATAGGAACATTTTGTCATATAGAAAAGACGTACCCCAGCGGTGAACCGAATCCATTTCACTATGATTTCCATACAAAGATACATGAATATACTGGCAAGAAATACTATTTGAGGGATAAACATGAATTTGATGTCAAGTTCGGACTTGAAATATCTATAAAAAAAGACATACGCTATAAAGAAGAACAAAATCTCATGACAGCAAGTCACAATGAAAACATTTTCCACCTACTATGTAGTTGGATAAAGCAAGAACTCACTTATAATTTTGGTAGCTAAGAAGCACACCGAAAGTCATCTGTGCAATTCCGAGAATCACTGAAATTTTCATTTTCATCGAGTTTAGGAATGTTAGTTTGTTTGATTCGGCAAGATTCCAAACAGGATCAACACCAATTGGATATGGTCCACCAACATTCTGAAAACAAGATCTTTTAGGAAAAAACAGATAAAATTACTAAACGGCTGAATTAATTCAGCGATATAAGAAAGCACTGACTATATGAAGTGGAATTTCTGGAACACCAAACTTACGTCATAGGCCTTTTCGGGAATCAACATGAGTTGCTTTTCTGGGCTGAACCCATGCCGATCAATTTCATGCAGGTCGTAACAATTTGTCCATCCCGATCCGAATATGTTAAGACTTTTCGAGAACACATCGTTATACAATAATCCGGTGTAGATTGAAAAAGCACCCATTAAGAAGATCACGTATCGACCGCCGAAAAACGTTTGGAAGATCTGAAAGACGTTCATACCAATCAGTTGAGAACAGAAAGACGAAGACTGTGTGCTACCTCATCTTTGATACGTGCCGCTTCCAGTTGTTTCTCTTTTAAAATGAAGAATAGGGCAGCCAGAAGCATTATAACGCCATGACCGAGATCACCAAACATGATGGCGAAGAGAAACGGAAATGAGATCATTGTATATGGAGCTAAAAAATACATTAACTTAAGACTTTGCATAAAAGTTGACAATAACCAGAGCTGAGTTCAGCATAAACAACATAATGAGTGGGGTGAAAGTGAAGACAGAAAAGTTGGGCGAAAGTGAAAAAAAAGTGGCGAAAGAAAGAAAAAACAACGGTCATGAAGATCCACTAAAAACACACCGGGATTGATCTCCCTGTAAGTTGCAACTCCGTATGCATCAACAATATTTTGAAAGCCTTTTGTGAATTTGTTTGTTTTGTGGTACGTCGGTGGTGCTTCGTTTGTCTCCATTCGATTCAAAATCGATGGTACTTGACTTCCACTTTCTTCCTTTAAACGTAGAAAATGGTGACCAAAGACCTATTTTCATTCTCCTTCCATTTTTAAACAGAAACACGTACCGTTCCTCTCTTCAAAGCCATTTTGATACGTTCTAATTCAGTAAGTGGACACCAACATTCAGCGATTAAACATTTCTGCAAACAACGTTACTTCCGATACATTTTTGTTCGGGTTATTCCACAATCTAGAGATCTAAAATCTACAGTTTGAACGGATATACTTATTATTCCCATCGGGGTCAACTGAAAACAGATTTAGTAAAACGCTACTTCTACATTGACATCGGAATTGCAGTACTTTCTTGAGTGGGATCATAATTCTCTTAACATTCAATAGCCAAGATATGTCATAGCATGTTCGACTGAGACGTACATGAGTTACATCGATATTGAACAAGTTCAGAGTGTGATAAATAGATTTGATCTTGCGCACTTTTGTCAGCCACATACGGACATTCTTCGATGCAGCAACCTGAAGGATTATAGGTTAGAGGATTAGAAAGCAGAGATGAAAAAGATGTTTGTGCATGGTTCTTAATAATGAGTTCAGTGACCTTAAGTTTAACAATGAGTTTTAACAGCAATAGGGTCGGATCAACAGCTCTGATGAAAATGAAGACGTCGAAACGTTAGCCGAATAAAACTTGTACAACAACTTCGGGTAAGCTTAACGATCCAAGAAGGCAATGAGTTTAGTCTTACGAGCACTCTATGGCGGTGATCTTGTGTTTGCCCAAGGACTGTTTTCAAATCTTCAATCCTTGTCATCACACCAATCGACATTTCACGACGTTCTTGTGGCGTGTCTGGACAGGGATACAGAGTCGCGCGAAAACTAAAAACCACTTCGCATAATTTCTTTTATTAACCCTTAGAAAAAAAGTAGACACGTCTCTCAAGTTAAAATGGTTCTTGACAACCCATTATTAAATGAATATAGAGATAGACAGACGTGAAAAATAAAATAAACCATATGGAACATACCCTTCACAGATCTTCTTTACTTTGGTCTTAAGCTGATCTCCTTGAAAGAAAATGATGAAAACTGTTTTATTTACTGGTTCTCCCTAAAAACAAGAGATTCATCAAATACACTAAAAATTATTTGTGAGTTTTACTCTTGGAACATTATCTTGCTAAAGGTTGCACTCAACATGAGCTTCGGTCGAAAACGTGTTATTTGTAAACAAGTACTCAATAAGTAACCAAGATGATTTAAATGAAGAATCACGCATTCTTGATTGATACACACAATACTTAAGTAACACTCAATACTTGTACTAATAAAGATCCTTAGCTATTTTACAAGTGTAACATTTAGGCACAGCTCAGCTTCGCACCTATGACACTAGGAAAAGGTGTCGACGGTCACAGAAAACAAGTAAAACGTCTTTCCTTCCAATTTAGATTTTTAGCAGTTGTAAAACAAACGTATTAACAACCTCGTGCCAGCTCGTGACGATAGCATTCGCATTCTTTCTGCCCTACGTCGATATTAACACCTTCATGTTACGTAATAAATTAAATGCTGACATGACGGAACGTTTCGGACGGCATGCATAGAATTAAACTCGGTTTGTCATGACTATTTCGCCTACTACACAAAATCTTTCTGTGGTGTATTTTAATCGCAGCTTTCTTCATTCATGACAGAGCTTCGTTGCCACATTTTCACTATTCAATTTATGGCTTCCAATCACAGATGTTCTACATGACGTCATATGAAAAAAATTATTTTTTACCCATTACATTTTACATGGCCTTATATATAGTAAGTAAGAAAAACTATTTTTTACTCATTACAATCTCAGAAGACAATCCTCTAAGGGGATGGGTTTCTCCACCGCCAGTCACAAGCTGTGTAACGACTTCCTGTTAACAATGGTATGCGTTTATATGAAATTTCCTAGAATGTATTCCTAGACACGTAAATATTGCTAAGTGCTGAACTTCAGTTTTGAAGCACAAATGGGAGATTTCTGCGCTCACCTTACCGGCATTAGTCTCTTGTGGGAACTACTATAGCAGCAACGGTCTTTCGCAACGCGCCAAACAAACTCTTATACTAAAACGTTTTTTGCAAATTATCAAGTGGGGAACATAGTCCGTACTGGATCACACCTGACGCAACATCTTTGTTAGATGAACACCTTGTTACGACTTTTGCCCGGTTCAAGCCATTGCGATTGAACTGTTTCCCGCTATATCGCGACCAGAAGGCCTCAACACAGCATAACTACTGAATGCAAAGAGTATCGCCAAGAAGTTTTACGCTAGAAAACAAGTCATTGAAAAGGGAAATGCAGTAAAACCATGTAGGTCACTCTGCTTCACGGTCCACGCATTTGAATCAAGTTATATCGTCATAGTCATAGAAGTGTTTAAAAAAAAACTTCACTTTGGTATATTACGCCATGAGAGTATCAATAAAACTTACCGTAACCGTGTCGTTCAGGACATCGTCAATTTCTGAAGTGCGTAGAAAGACATTACCACGGCAAGCACGCCAAAGAAGACGCTCAAACGCTGGAAGGCGTTCACGACGAATAACCCCAGCGACAAAACTAAACTTCAAGGTGTCGCCAAGTATTTAAGGAATCGTTGAAAGAAAAATTTAATCCCTCATAATCTAAAATATAACGATGGAATTACGAACGTTGATTCCTGCAATCCAACACTCCCACAATCACAAAAAGAGAAGACTTTAGCCGCCACCACAAACAACACGATGTCATTTCAGTGTCTTAGTGGCAATACTAACACTTTTACCTAACATCTACTATCAAAGATACAACACCCGCCCGCATACCGTAACTGAACCTTCAGTGGTGCGTTGTCGTATTGCATCGTTCTTGTATGGTGCATGTCCTCTTCAGAAACGGTCAGTAGCTCTTCATGCTATAGAACCACAACAGTACACTCATGTCTTTGTAATCACCTTCACAACTGCACAATTACAACATTGAATTCTTGCTTAATGACAATGAACCTAGAAGAAAAACGTTCAATTACAGTCGATTACCTCCAAGTTCAAATTTCTCCGAAAACTATAGAGGCTGTGCCAACATCATGTAAAACGGATATCTCACATTGCAAAGAAGAAATATGCTATTCGCTACTCTATACTGATCATGGAGAGGATGCATTCGCCGAAATCATGCACATAGCACCTAAGACAGATGGTGATAAGCGGGACGCTGAACACATGCAGCAAACATCAAACGTTTTAGCAAGCATACTTACACTATAACCTTGGTAACACGGAAAACAAACAGCAAAGTTAACGAAATTAGAATCAGTTGATATAGCACTATATCCGTGCTCAAATGATAAATTTGACGCCAACTGTTACCAACCCAAAATTATGGAAAAGTGGGCCCGTAGTATGTGCAGGCGCACCAGGCGCAGATGTAAGCTCCATGGTCTCCGATTCGTCACTGGGAGGCACCATTGTGTCTGCTTCTGCCTGTGTTAAGAAAAACTGAATTTTTTTAGGAAGCGCTGAGGTTATCAATGACAAAAGGTAAGCACGTACAATAACTGAAAGATAACGGGATGAATACAAAGGAAAATAAAAGCTCCTTTAGCTAGTACAAGTCTAGATCGCGTTGCATACACGAAACATGGAGTGTTCTGATTATAATAGTGCTATTAGGAATCTCTTCAAAGGGTAAAAACAATCAGAAGGAGAGCAAATAAGTTCTAGAAGAGTATCGATGAACCCTTGTAAGTCTCCACAACAAAATGGTTACTCTAGCAACCACATGAAGATGACTGATCGCAAATGCAAATCACAATCCACAGATGAAGCATTAAAGGTCCGTAAGCACTAAGGATTAATCTTCAATTAAAACATCACTTAAGTACGTACGGCGGGGCAGTTACTTGAAAATCACAGTGTAAATCATACTCCACACATCGGTTTATCGTCTCATTATGGCGGGGTGCGGTCCAGGACGTCAGGGTGCGCTGTACAGCAGGGGTATTCATCCCCCGACAGACTCTCCCAGGCTGAGAAGTCCGACGTTCCCGACATGAAGCCCAACTAAGAGTAAACCAATCCACCACCGTCCTGGCACCAAACTATCGCATGGTGGCAAATCTCCCCCTGATCCACAAGAGCTGCGACTGCCTGTGGTAGTGACAACCTGGGTCAGACTTTGACTAGACTGACCTTTGGACTCCAGGGAAATACAGTGGCTAAACCAGATAAACTCCGAAAAGTGGCAAATATGTTGGGGCCCACAAAACCAGTCAGGGCGGAGTCGAAATATCCAGGTAGGTGAGTAAATAGTACTAGCAACGAATTAGCTGCGCTGCAAGGAAAAAACCCACACATTCCTCTTCCCGTCCTTCTGATCTGAATACTAAAAAAGTGAAAAAATACAACAGCTATTAAAAGACAAAACTCCGATACTGTTGTGGGTGTGTTGGATGCGCTACGCTCATTTGAACTCAACATTCAAATCCATCATACCATTCGGGTTTAACCGTTTTGAAAAACGTTGTCCTAATTTCATGTTCAGAGGAGGAGTCTTTTTTGAAGCACAACAGATATCCAGTAAAAAAGCTGGCTGCCAAGAATTTGAGTAGGTCATTAAGCACAAAACAACTTTAGATGAACGAGTAATATAAAAGCAATTTATATAAAATTTTTTAGTGATAATACTTTTCTTACGTGTTATCTACCTACCCCAGTCTTAGCATCGTCAATGATAGACTCATTCCATAAGACAGTTCTTCTTCAGCAGTTATAATTAATGGTTCTTGTTCTCCAGAAAGCGTCCTTCTTCTAGTAGTTTCGCCAAAACGACGACGATCGTGTTCCACCTCACAAATCACGACAATCATAACACAACCCGGATCACCGCATAAAATATGACTTCGTGTGCTTCAAAATGGTTTCACCAACATCGTCAAATAAATAGATAAATAGATTGCTGATATCACCTAAAAACACGGCCGAGAGAAAGGCGAAATAAAGGACCCGTATAGTGGGGTGTTGAACGCGTTAAGCCACTGAAAGTGTAATAGCGTGTTCGAACCCCACCGCAGACACCTGTTGCTCGAAGTTTTGTAAATACCATAGCATTTCTCTGGTTAAACAGATTGGTTTAAAAACAATGAGCATTTTCTTCTTACAATGAATTTTTGAAATATTTCTTTAAACAATCAGATACCCTGATATGGCACATGTGCATCAGCATTTAATACATATATTCCTATCCAGTGCCATATTATTACTTTCTTAATACTTAACAGTAGACACACATGATAAATTCAAGCTGATTCAAATAGCTTTTTCTCTCACAAAGTGACAAACTATTTCACGAGATAAACCTCAAATTACCGCAGAAATAACCTAAATTTTGTCGAAGCATGGGCCAAGGAAATGTATTTGAAAATATAGCGCGTTTTCGCTTTCGAGAAGTTCAGTATGGGAAACGTTGAGTTTCGCCGACAAAAAAGGTGATGTACACCAGTTACCAGTTGACTGCGACCATTTGAAAGCAACAATCCAGGCTGATCTTCTAAAAACTACTCGAAATATTACAGAAGAACTCAACTACGCAATAATTATTCGTTATCTCAGTAACACTGGAAAATGAAAGGTTAGATAAGTGATGCCACAAGAACTGAACGATTGCAAAAAAATAACAATCGTTAAGAAGTGTGTTCAAAGTTTCCCTTGCACAACACAAATGACCTATTTTCTGAAGATATCGCGAATCATAACGAAAACCCCATTATGGACAATGACATTCGTTGCTTTCCACGTTTGGACTAAGATGAATCTCCTAAACAGTACTAAAAGCGAAAGCTTCATCAAAAGAGGTTTGGTTACTGCATGGTGCATTGGAACAGAAGCTACCCATCACAGCTTATTGAACGCTGGAGAAATCTCTATTCCAGCTGCTGATAACCAATGTCAATAAACCCAGAAACAGCCATTCGGTGCTCGGAATTAGTCAACTCGAAACATCTATAGAATAATCGGCCAATATTTTTTCCACCAGCATAATAGAAAAAAAACAATATTGTAAGCACAATGACCTTACGATACTTGTAAACTCTGGACAGCTGCTGCTCGTTGTGGGGATCAAACCGGCTATTACCCACTCCAGAGGCTAACGTGCCCACCGCCACACCATGCGGATCTTTCGTTTCGTTTTCCTCTCAGCTAGTTTTCTATCTAATAGTGCCATCAGCAATCATCCGTCAACGGGATTGATCTAAGGAGCCCAAATCGGCGTTGAACTCACTTCACATAATACTCTACCGTGAAAAATTATAGTATGCAGTAAACAAAAAGTTAACTCATAAAAATATCATTTTAACTGAAAACCACTGATGCTTCTCATTTTCTGAAAATACTAGATTTCAAAGCCGAAAACGGCTATAGTATTGCTTGAACCATTTCACGACCAATACGGCGTCTCATGATAGACCAAAGGTCATTAATCTTCTACGACCAGTAGAAATTTAATAAGGAATGAGATTGTACATCATTCCTGTTTAATCCGACCATTTTCACATCAGGACTTATGTCATGCGGTGATCCAGAAATAAACAATCATGCACTGGACCTTAAAGTCCAGAAGAATCAAAACACTCTGCGTGCATAACGAGTTTTATCAAATCCCTTTGTAAAACTACGAACTCGTATTTTTTGACGTACACAAAACTATAACGAAGGTTTCTACACACTAGCTAAACTCGTGCCTAAAATGTGCTTTAGCTTGAAAACACTGCACAGTGAAGGGGTAATGAAAGCAACAGAAATCTACTAACTATATTAAAAGTCAGCCAACGAAAGTCAGTCGAAAGCCACTCGATTTAAAAATACATTAGACCTGTTTAGCGAATTTATAAATTAAGTACTTAAAGCCATATTGTTAAAGAACACGTAGCTTACCCCTACTACAAGATTTCATATCTTAGAAAACGTGAACTAAAAATTATTGCTGTTGGGAATTATTCTCACACACATCTACTAAAGCTAAAGTTTTAAAAAACTGGTTGGTTGTATTTGAGATCCACAAAAGACTGAAAATGGCATGGTCAAAAAGTTGATCTTCAACGGACCAAAAAATTGAGTAACCGAGAAGAATCTACTAGCCCGAGCCAATTAAAAGCAACCATTGTTAGTGACTAAGCAGAAAATAAGACAGCAAAGAAATTAGTAATTAGCCAAATATTATATCAACAAGTGCAGCAAAGCAACCAATCCAGCGATCAGAATTGTGGATTTTAGTCAAAGTAACGATTACTACAGGGAATATAGATAACTCAGTAACACTTACCTCCTCAAAAAACGTCTGCGTCTTCCTAAGAATGTGCTTCAATTCTGTTAGTTCCGAGAAGTTCTTCCTGAGGGTCTCTTCGTTTCGATTTACTTCACGTAATTCATTCTCCAGTTTTTCAAAGGTTGCCTGAAATGAAAAACGTATAGATCCATAAGAGAAAACAACACGCCGCGGTAAGAATACACCTCCAGATCAATCATTTCCCTCGGTTGTGGAGCATCCGGATTCTCACCCGTGTCCAACATTGGTATCTGATCCTTCTTGATTTCTCTTTCCAGATAACCTGTGTCAGGAGGCTTACAATTACAATACAACAGTACAATTTCAACAATTCTTTCTGTACCTTCAGAACTAATCGAAATCACAAGACAATAGGTTGTATCTAATTTACTGATCCTGTCCTACTATCGTCATATTTTATTCATCTTTAGTGTCGCAGAATGCTGGTCGAGTCGATTCTTCCTGGAGTCTTGAGATAGCAGAGCTGTAGAGCTCTCAATCAGATTGCAAAAAGTGATTTTTCCCGGACGATTCTGGTACGAATTTCCCGAGCTCGGAGAGATGAGGGGGTTGATGGGGCCGATCCGAGATCGAACCAGTACCGTGCTCGTGGTGATCGGCATCTCTATCATTGTGCTATCCGCCCCTCTATCATTATATGGTATAACAAATTTTCGATTGCGGTTGATGAAAACACAGTGAAACATGGATCGCATTCAAAAGAAATCCTGAAACTTGGTGACAAATATAGCTTAAAACACTTCATTAAAAACTCACGAAGTTTCCTTTCCATTTCATCGCATCTGCGAACCTCATTGACATACTTACGTTGAAATGAACTTGTATCCGGATTCAGCTAAAATCACAGAAACTTTAACTCGTAATGGAGAAACCCTTTCACTTACATCTCTAAACTGTACGAGTCCTAGTTCACCAAGTTCGGCCACACATTGATAAGCAGCTTCAGACTGGAGGAATAACTGAGCGAGCGTTACCTGCTCGCTCCGGTATATTCCTGGTTGGTCTGGCTCCGGCTCAGACATGTCTGCAAAGTGGTAATGGAACACTCAGAATAATCATTAGATAAACAACTAAAGATTAGATAAAGTAATCACCGAGCATATACAAGAACGTAACAGAGAACGTATTAGTTGTAAAATGAATGCAGTAACAATCAGCGGTGGAAAAGGACACATTTTTCGAGGTATACTGACTTTCATGTGGACACGATAATGACTCGGATGATTACTCTAAAGATTAAGATTACTAAAGACTAAACTAAAGGTTATCAAAAAACATTGCTTAACGTTTATGTATTGATTATCTGACTAGGGATTCTCGGATTTCCATCAATGCGCGGGAGGACAACGTAAAGGAAGCTAGAAAAGTTTAACTTCTGAAGGGAGGAAAATTCGAACCAGTAGGGTAACAAAAGATGTAAGAGGTACTACAACCAGTTGGATACGGAGATATTTGCAAAACTCGGAGTAATCACAAATGCTTAGGACTAAGGAACTAAGGGTTAGGATTAAGAATTAAACGGCTGTTCATCCACAGTGGAACGCACGTAAAGAAACGTCTCTAAAGAAGGCGATAGCACCGGAAACGTCAGCTACTGTCGTACTTGTTTTTGTGCGAAAGTAAACGTCTGCTGTATAACAACCTCGTGAATTGCTGAAAAGGAAAACGACGCACTTAAGACCGCAATCATTTGACGCAAACCATCTTTAAAAAACAGCCTTTTACAAGTAAAAATATGAAAAATGAAAGGTCCGAGTGATACGACGACGAAACCTAAGCCGAATGAGCGCGACGGGCCCGGACGAGCTTCGTGGCGGAGTGCGGTCGATAGCCGCTCGCTCCGCCCATCAGCACCGGACGTTTACCAGATGACGTGGGCATAGGAAACAAAGTAGTTAATTTTGTATACAACTAATTATTAAACTCTTAGTTTAGACAACCGTGCTCTCCCTTCTGATCATCACCACTGATGAGTCGATTTTCAGACCTTTCATTGATTCATCGCATTCTTGACCATGCCTTACTTTTCGCTTTTGTGTGCGCCTATGTGAAAAGAAAGATCACAATCACATCGTATAGCTTTCTATCTATTTCCTATTATTTTTTTAATGCCAGGATGTCATGTGAAATTGAACCAAAATCATTTAATAACATTTGCAAAACTCAGACCCCAGGCCAGATTCGAACCGGTAATTATCCTTATTAGGTTTGGATCTGACTGGTACTTTAAAAAATTGTTTTCTTTAATGAATTTCCTTGAATAACGGTCGAGCTGATTGCCCCAAAGATCCCATAACGCCTTGTTAAAGCATTCTTAACTCTTTTCCGCACGGGCACTCGCCGACCTTTCTGGATCGGAGAGATACTTTTCTAAGCAAGTTCTCACAGCATTGCGTTAAATGCTATTCATAACACGAAAGATTGTGTGAAAATAAAAACGTCATTAAAGAGAATGATCCGTTCAACCAAAAGTTTTCTGACCAGAAGTAGTGGTCTGTTCAACGCAGTAAGATGGGTTACCACTCTATCGAGTTGTGCGCACCTTGTTAAGGTTTTCGTGCATTATTTTTAGGCCAATTTTAAAAGTGAACAACTATGAGCCCTGTAAAGGTTGCAATGTATCCATTGAATTCCTTTAAGTTCATACAGGATGGTTCGGTCGATATTCGTCGTAAGGCTAAGATTTTGCCGACGAAAACAGCTAAGATAAAGCTCCATTCTCTTTTTTTCAATCAGAGATTTCGAAATCGCGTTTCTGGTTCATCAAACAAAGCGATATTCATTGTTCTGTTCCTACTACAAAGGACTGTAACTCTAGCGGTGTTATTCCAGAAACTAGTATTGCTATTTCTATCTTCGTCGAAAAGTTGCCAAGATCAACTTCGTGGAGCAAAAAGTGGGCAGAATTAGGAACCCTTGGGATGCAGACAAATGAATCCGGGAAATATGGAAAGAGGAAGAAAAACGCCTATATTAATTCCACGTCTCCGTTATCGATTTCGCTCGACAAGTTTTTATTGAGAGAACTGTTGCGATACAACACTTTACATAATAAGACACGGCTGAGAGAAAGGCAAACCAAAGGCCCTGCATGGCGTGGTGGTAAACACGCTAACCCCCGGAAAGGCTGATAGCGTGTTCGATCTCCACCGCAGACATCTACGGTCCGGAGTTTTGCAAATATCTCAACATTATTTTGTTTATTCTTCACATCATACCCTGCCATGACAAAAGAACACGCTGAAAATAAAAATGTGATTACTTCACATGTTTATATAATATATAATAATGTAATAATATATGCGTAACAATGGAATAATACATTCATAATGTACACTTTACAGTTGCTCAACGGCTGTCCCTCTATAAAAGGACACAGGAAAGTGAGAAGGCTTCATTCGAACAGCTCGGATCATCGCTCCTCTGAAGATGACGAAGACTCTGAGACGCTAACCAAATGAAAATCCTATAAACTGTTAAAATTTCTTGCGGTAAGTTTATATTAGCTTAATAATTCCAGAATTTATTGAATATTAATGCCGAAGTTAAATGAAAGTTTGTTCAAAGAAGTGTTGTCACGCTATGTGCCAGAACTCCTGCAGGATGCATTTGCCACTATGGAAGCAGGTGAACAGATCATATTGGATGGCAGTGGATCAATAACCATGCTGTATAGGAGGACACTACCAGTGAGTAAACCTAATTCGAGAAGTGCTTCACTCCATCTGGTTCGACTCGATGAGACAACAAGGATCCACAAGAACAGTAGATGATCGATTTGGATTATCGAGGCCCTGAAGAAGACGAAGGCGCCAAAGCATTAGCTGAACAAAGAATTTATAACAAACTCGTGTAGGCTGAACAAGCTGAAGAAATATACTGATATCGCACTTTGTTTTCCTGTCACGCTATCCTGAAAATAAGTGCCGTTTCATCTTTATGCGCCTTAAAGTTTTATTTCCAAGACCGATCGTAACTTCAGCATTGAGTCCAGGTAAGGAAATGGTTAACCGGCTATAGATACATAACCATATACATACAACGTGTATTTCAATAGCTTTTGATGGATAAGAAGATCTTAAAGATGATAAGGGTTACGGACGATTTGCTATCATCGAAGGCATCCATCTGACTGACTTAATTCAGACAGATCCATCATACTATTTCTGGCAGATTTACATGTAACTCACGCATAATTTTTGGATTGCCTTAAGCAGTTTGAGAGGTCTGAGAGCTGTAAACATTCAAAAAATGGGGAAAATGAATTTAACGAGTATCAAATAAGACATATCGTTATCAGTTTGTCTGTCCTATGCTTTCTTCGTACGACAAAAATGAGGCATTTCTTGATTATACTGTAATATGTGGGTGAAAATACATTTTGTACGAAAACCTAGAGTTGGCAAAGTACGGAGACACAGAGGAAAACTTCCCATGAAAAGAACGACGTCATCACTTTTTCTGTTCTCAGATGGAAACATTCGTTGAAAGTTTGGAATCCTGGCGAAAAACTGACTATATCGCAAAGGATAGAGAATCAAGCTTTCGGCGTTGATAAATCCCTGAGGGATGGACAAGGCATTCGACTTGATGAAGCACCATCAGAGGTGAATGAATGTATATCTGGCCAATACAGTGACTTTCATTAGCCTATCGATGTATGGGAGCAGTGCTGCTATCCTCCTAGACAAATCTGGTACCAGTCTGTCAACCCAGGAGTGACGGAAGGCTTGCTCAGCCTGGGGCGTGGGCTCGAACCTACGACGTCTGCATCGCGGAGCACCTGTAACCGCTACCCTACACACACGTTATACTTTATTATTAATAAATTGATAAATGACCAGGAACCGAAGCGTTTGCGAACGGTAACCAATGCTACTGTGAGCTCACAGCCAACTATTAGAATTTTTCCAGCTCAACAGCAATTCTTGCATCTCAACAACAAATTCGTGGAAATGATGAGAAAATCTTCAATAATACATTCTATCTAAATGCTACCGAAACCTTCGTAAATTGAAAACACTAAGGACTTTCCCGTTATAGAGTAAACAAACTTCTATTGTGTTAGAAAGTGTGTAAAACATCGCAGCTTGTCTAACAATTATTGACAGAAAGTATTAATCTACCATGAGTGAAGATAGATGACTTGAACTTGAAGATTACCTTCCATTTGAACTCTGGGCCAACTACTATACAACGTACTCAGAGTAATTCTATAACACAAAATGTCAAGAAAAAATGTCCAGGAAAGTCATTTGGTTCAAGTGAACATCTACTACCAGTATATGCCCACTTGGCAACAACACGCGCCTTACTGCTGTAAGAACCAAGAACCTGTTGTCATCGACGAACCTCGCATCACTCATTTGTCTTGGTCGGTACTTCACCAACAATAACAGCTAGTTTTGAATTAAATGGAAGACTATCCAAAAGTTACTAATCGACGAAAACATCAGACTGTCACTTCAATGCCACAGGCAGAACCACCTAGCGGACGCCGATCTTCACCTTTCTACGACAGTGCCAGGAGGAATCGTTTTCGAACAATATGGTGATGGAAACGAACGCTGAATGGCTTTACCCATAAATATGCATAAAGCATTGTTGCTGCTTCTGCTGCTTGGAGAGCAATTGTCAATGTATTCTGTACGGAAGAGTCACGTTTCTTCCCACACAGACATGTTGTGCTGAGATCCGCTGTCCGAAGTCGAGTGAGTCGACGTGAACATATACACGAACCAGCTACGTGACCTGACTGACTGACAGTACTGATAGAGAAGCGGCCGAGAAGAGCACTGAATTGTCTCCTGAACGGTTACGTTTGACAGTGCAGGACTACTAAACGATTCTGCTGCTTACTATAGCTCGGACTTCACTTCATTTGGCCCCATCATTTTCAAAGTCTAAAAAACCCGCTTCGTGTTTCGTTTTCGAAAATTTGCTTAGCAATTCTTTATGCCTAATAATGCTTGCAGGTAGACGGTAGGTTGAGGAATTCCATTTAACATTACCAAAGACGTGATGCAATGCTTGAAGTAATTAGTTCCAGTAATGAAGGGATTCATAGGAGGGCAGAGAGTAACTGATTTCTGTGGTTAGCTAGCAAGATTCTGAGGGTATTCTTTGTTACTAAGTGAAAAGTTTCGAATACTACGATATTGAGTTCTATGCTTCGAGAAATCATCCCTCCTGTTTATGAGCTTTAAGGAAAAAGAGGAAAATCACCTTGATAATAAAATATCTTGAGCTCCAACGTTGAGATACTCTTCGTTCTTTGGCCACATAAAGGGAGACATGAACTGACTTGAACTCATTCGGAGCCGATAGTAGTCACTCCTTACAACTTGAATAAGTTATGGCAAACTTTAGTAAATGAAACAAAAATAGGTAGGATCCAAAAAACTTTGTCTGCAATATGAAAATCCTGCTATTTCACCAACTTTATCAAATTCTATGGCGAGTGTGGCGCAATGATCGGAGGCGCCCTGCAACACACATGTGGAATCGATCCCGGTGCCCATGGCCCACCAAACCCTCTGTGCCTCCGGGTTCGGCAAATTTGTATCAAACCTATCTGCGAGGATAGCAGCACTGACTCGATATATTGGTAGGCCACCGTGAGTCATTGTGAAGGCCAGATATGCATTCAATCACCACCAACGATGCTTAATGAAGTCGAATGCATAGCGCATCCGTCAAGGATTGATCAACGTCGAGAGCTTTATCCTTTATCCTTTATACCAACTTCTACCATTCTATTCCAATTTACTGGAGCCTAGAAAGCACCTTTTTGTCCTTATTATTGCTCGTTCGCTGTTGTTATATCGTTATACACGAGAACGAAACCACAATAAATTATTACCATATAGAATGTTACTTTCTTTAAAAGCAATTTTTCCAAAGATAAAACCCTCCAAGAAGAACACAAAGACGAAAGAAACTGCCAATCTTTAGAGGAAATAAGGAATTGTATGAGCATCTGTACATCAACATAAAAGCTAATCGACGTGGAAGAGAAAACGAGTCAATGTTCTTCAAGTAACGATGTTAAGATCGGGTTATCTGTAGTCCAAAACATGATTTTATTCTTAAGAATGTGTTTCGTTCCTCATCACATCAAGAATTGGACTTGGCGTCGAACCTCACCTTTGAGCATCAAAGCAACTGTAGCAGGATATTGTGCCTTTGCATGCTTTACGATAAAACCACTCTCAGCTAAGGTTTGCTTGCTGTCAAGAGGTTAATCATTTACGTTATTATCTATTAAGCGGACAAGAATTTGATCATTCACTGGAATCTTCAGCACTCCGCGTTTTTAAGTTCCAGAACAGGGCTGAATCCTTTGCATAACAAAAAGATATTACTTCTTCCTAACGATCTCGAAGAAAAGCTCATGGACTATTTGTGGCGCAACACCCTCAAATTTCGTTTTTGATCACTTATCCAATTTGTGAATGAGGATTGAGAGACGAACTCGTTTTAAGTAATGCTCTTCTGACGCTGCGATTGAACCACCCTTCTTTCACTACTTTTCTAGAAATCATCTATCTATGATAAAAGAGATAATACAAGAGAAACCTATCAGTTAATTCCAAGTGGGAAGAGGTCTAGCAGTGGAGCAACCTCACGCGCTATATCGCAATTCGTCGCTTAGAAACCGTCATAAGGGTGATGCTTACCATAAGGTGAACTACAAGTCGTCGTCGATAGTACCTAAGAGGATTGTCAGAAAGAGAAGCATCTCTGCATAAGGGACGAGTTTAATAGCAACATAAGGCCGTACTAATAACTTCTACCGCTCCATATACTAAGAAGGAAATTTCTAGAAATAAAACCCTTTACCGCCCAATCTCAGTTTTGTAATGAGTAAGATAAAAATTATTAAAAGCAGTGTCAGAAAATCTGGAATGTCTAGTTAGGTCTCTTTTTAACAGTCTGCAGGGTGTGCAGCAAAATGCAACTGGCTTTCAAATCTAAAGAAATCCTGAGTGTGTATGGTCCAAACCCTAGCTGTGTTAACTATCTCTATAACTACTCATAATAAGGAACTCATGCAGCGCAGCGGGTAGAGGTATCCAGTAATACACACTGGATCAGTCATTGGTTTGATCTCGCGCCGCGATGCCTTCCAACCCTACGAGGTCTGCAAATTGCTATCAGATTTGTCTGGGAGAATGGCAGCACTGACTCGATACATCGCTATGCCGCCTCAAGTCATTTTATAGACCACATATGAATTCAATCACCTCTACGATGCTATGAATGGAGTCGAATGCATGGAGCATCGCTCAGGCATTGATCGATGTCGAAAGCTCTATCATATATCTTTTATTCACCCATAGTAAAACATCAGCACACTATCAAATGAATAGAACTTCCACCGAGCTGAAGAAGGAAATCGTGCATTTTCTCGCGGATCGAGCAGGAGGTCCGACAGGCGGAAAATTTGGCGGGCGCAGTCCGCACTGCACAACACCGATTACCGCGAATTACAAAATAACCTCGTCCTACAATTTATCCTTAGTAATTTTTATAGCAGAAACAAACTATGTATGTTTTTGTATCGCTTTAGACCTGAAGATCAAATCCCATTCGCCGGCATGAGTCGTTCACCTTTAAAAAGTCCAGCACGGAAGAAAATCGCCGGCATACCAAGCTTGGTCAGTTCATTGACGTGACACGTTTCGACATGTTCATTTCGATCGTTTTTCGTACGGAGATTGCTCGTCATTGTACGACTGCTGTTCTTTTCTTGACATCGTCTGTTTTCTAGATAACAAAGAAATAAAGATGTTCTAGGTGCGGGACAAATCTTCGTCACCGTACAAGCTACGTGACACGTCCAAACTCCCTTCCCGATATCGAGATGAGGAAATAGACGTCCCACCACTGAGGAGTCGAACTCCAGTAAAACCACGAACACCGCTAAAGAACACTGTGTGGGTTTGTTTTTTTTAAAGATGAGCTTCATCCTTAAAGATCCAACTTGGTAGGGTATTGTATCCCCACCGTGACCTGTTCTCGCTTTTTCCAATCTTCGTTTATTACCGACTATTGATTGGTCCGTTTTTCATGACTTACTTAATACTCTTTCAGCACTTTTTACAATGTTTTCTGGTACTTTCTCAATAATGCTTTTCACAACCTACTTGGTGCTCTTTCAGTTATTCTTTCAACTCTTTCTAGATCTCCTGTTTATAATATCTTTATACTTTACTCATTGACTTATTTTATGACTTACTTAGTGCTCATCCTGTACCTTCTATAGCGTTTTTCAGTATTTTCGTAATAATCTTTTTTTACAACATACGTAGTACTTTTCCAGTATCAACTCTTTTTAGATTTGCTGTTTATACTATCTTCATGCCATCTTTTATGGTCCACACATTGATTTCCAGGAAGACACATTCCCTCTATCACATCTTAGTAAAAGTTTGAAATATTTCGTTTCGATACGTTTAGGATCCTCAAGCTCTTTAGGTCCCAATAGGTTTGTATCCTATTTGTCCATTGATCACTAAAATCGATTACTCAACATATGTTTAAGTTACTAAGCTTGCAATACAATAGCTTATATATACATACAATAGTTTAAGCTATTAAAAATAGATGATGCACACGATTTTCAGACATGTGACTTCAACAGGTTCGTCCGCGCGGCGTGTCCTAAATGCCAGTTCAACAGCCACTTCATCGTATCAGTCTATTCGTACCCCTGGACTTCATCAAGGAAGTATGCCTCCCTCTACCACGGTCTCCACTCAAAGAAGTGATCATGTGACGGAAAGGCCTGTGATGGAACTCCATCCACCTGACAGCAAGTCTTCAGTAGGTTCATTATCCTCAACTTCTTAACAACTTTTCGATCGTTTACACTAGCCATTTCCAGAAATCTGCTGATTCAAGTTCATCAGCTTTCACGTCTGTTCGCGGTGAAGTCGGCCAGGTTGGGTAATGTCGTTGGCTTGTTTCTCTGTGATAAGCTTCGACTATGTGCTCAAAGTTGCAGGTGCAGTCGAATTCATATGCAGCTCCAACAGTGGTTAGAAGACATTCCGGATATCAACAACACTCTAAAGCTGTAAGTTTGACTTTTTTAAAAGTTATCGAAGGCTGAAAGGGTAACCGGGGGGATATCCCATTTTGAAAGTGCTGTGGTTGTGAAATTGAGAGAACAAATTACAAGTGTTGGATGATTGAGATTTTGTTACAGTAGATGGACATAGGTTTAGCATCGAAACAGTTTCTTCGAGAACGTTTACCTCTACTTAACTAAGACCCCTCCGGTTCTCATTCGAAGTTTTCCTACTTCCGTAATAAATTCAGATAGCGCGAGTAGTGGAGGAGTCGTATACGAACACTCCAGAATCGTCACGTTCTTCAATGGACGACGATGCTTCGGAAGCAACGAGAAATGCACTCTTAAAAAAGATTGCTCGGTACATCATTCCTTATTCAAATAATGATTTTGTTTCTTATGTACAAGTAAACTTGTTTATGGAATTGTCGACAACTTGTGAATCGATTACATGGGCAAAGTCACAGATCATTTAATCACTTTGGAAAATCTTAATATGGTGTTTCAATGACCGATTTTGTTTTAGCCTCGATATGGTTAATCAACATGTATTCTTTTATTGATGAGCTGACACGAAGTTAGTAAAACACAAAGGGGCCGAATCGCTAGCCGAATGAAGTTTTTTATCAACATTGTGTTAGCTTATCAATGAAAGGGTGTGTCTTAACATGGTAGTTCACACTCTTGTATCCAAACGCTATCCTCTAAAGGTCGTTCGATTGTTAAAGAACGAATAAGAGCGTAGTAGTAGAACGTATATGATAAATACGTTTGTGGAGCATAGTTGGTTTGAACGATAATATTCTATACAGGTGTTAGTTGTTAGCTTTTGTTTTGTTTCAGTCATAGGTCGCAAAATGAGATTGGGTCTGAGCTTCAGTGTAGCTTGCGACGGTTACGAAATCTTCTGAAACTCCCCAAAGTAAGTTTGTTCTGTTTCTGATAGTTTATTTCTAGTTTTAAGCCGATGTTATTAACAGTAAGAGTGCAACGTAAGTTGTCGGTGCGAAGGTAAAGGTCGCTTCTGACTTTAAAGTAATATATCTCATCTCTTAACGTAATTTATCATTTGAAATAGAAATTACCAGAGTCTATAGAATCTACAACTCTTTACCAATACGTTATAAGCTTTTCTATTGCACGATGGTGAGGATTTAATTTCAAGAGGCCCGTAAATCGGGTTTTTATAGTTTTATTTTCATCAATGTTCACATTTATAACCCGAAACCAATGGATTGTGGGGATTTCCTACAGCGAAGCTGCGTTCCTATGACACTCCCGAACGCAGCGTTAACTTCAGACTCTAAGTGTTGACGTAATTCTTGTTGATGTTCTTAGTAATCTTTTGATGCTTAAGATGTTATAGAAAAGTGACTATATGTTTGACTTCGCGATTCAGTATTAGAGAAGCGGCAATTCGTCGTCTAACAACTAGTTTCTGTCAACTTGAGTGCCATAAGTCAACCACACATTTCTTTTCAGGCTCGTCAATGGGTTATTTGTGAATTTTTTTATTCTGGCGTCGACGAGCAACTTTTTCTTGGTGACAATGAATTCAGGCAACTAATCAGAGAAGCGTTTCCAAATTTGAAGACTACTCTTATGAACAAGCAGGAATGGCGTGTTATACGACGTCTACTGGGTAAGCTTCATGTTATACGGCGGGGCAGAGCTTGTTTTGGAATTGAGTGAGCGTACATGAACTGGAATAGCTTACATATGAATAAGATAGTTTAGGTAAGCCTCGGAGGTGTTCGACAACATTCTTTGATGAGGAGCGACAAATTTTGGATCAGAGACGACGAAAAGTACGTGGGATTTATGACGGTTCCTACACAGTCTCGGGGAACTGTGATCTTAGTGACATGCCTCCGAATCTTCCTGCTCCTCTAGTTGTTGGTATGAAAGTGAGTTTATCATCGTTAGTTTGTTCTTCGTTTGCAAGATAACACTGTTTCTCCTCATAGGCTAAAATGATTATGAAATTGGATAAAGTAGCATTATTCTAGAGGTGATTTTTAAAGAATACAGCATCTCTCTAGTTAACGAGTTTCCTTTCCCAAGTCAATGCTTTGTTAAATAAACTGAAAAGCACGTGCATATTTTCTTCTTAGGCTTGTGTGTATGTTATTTATGTACTCTGTATATTCTCCAGGTCTACGCTCGAGTTCGTACGCCAAAAGATGGCATATATGGTGGAACTATTGATGCACTCGTCCCTGGTGGTGGTGGATATCGGGTTGTATTTGATAAGGTTTCAAATAATGGTTCTTATCTGTGGAGAAACCATGAAAGAGCAGAATCCTGTTACAGGAAGATATGATCCCACCAGCATTTGTGCCAGATAGTGAAGTAATGTTTGATGGATCCCTCCAACTTCTTTCGTTATCTTACTTTTTACAACAAAACCATGCTCGGTTACCCGTAACACTAAGCTCAGCTCGGACAGGTGAGTTGATTTGTTGCTGATTCCTATACATTTTTGTTATGGATGTGTATATTTAAATAATTATATGATGGATACTTTTTGTACTATCCTGCATATTTCAGTCGCCATTTCCCATTCATTGAAACCAAGAAAGTCTGCAGAAGTGAATCGTAAGCTATTCAGTTTGGTTTAATGATGACGCAGTTTGTTTTTTCTACCGAATCAAGTTTTCATTGTTGAAGGTTTGCACATAAATATTTTCTTTTAGACGAAAAGGTTGGAAATTTCCCTGTACGGATGCTTGTAATTCTTGTCAAAGTGGCGAAACTTTTGGAGATCAAGAAGAAGCTGGTGAAAACACTGACAGAACTTAATGATGAGGCTGAAAGAGAAAGTATACTTACTGATGTGTATACCTCTGTGTTCCAAGTATGTCCATGTTCTGAATTGTTACCGGAAGTTTCTACCCTAATATTAAAACAATGCCAGTACTAGGTTGTAGAGTTTTAATGTATACTGATAATATTAGTGGCGGATAGCACAGAAGTAGTGATTCCCGTCATCACTGATGATGGTTCGATCCGCCTCTGGGCCAACCTAGCCTTCAACCCTCCGGGGTAGGGAAATTGGTACGGGACTTGTCCGGAGAAGAAATCGCTCTCTACAGTCCAATTGGGAACGGTCTAGCCCGGCTATCTCAGGACTCCAAGGTGAATCGACTCGACAGCATTCGACGACATTCAAGATGGAGTGGGAATCTCAAGCAATAGACGAAACCACACGTAAAAGTTGGAAGATATTCGTGGATAATAGATGCGAGGAAACGAATCGAATGTGAGAAGTGCTGGAATCCTCACAGTAGGAGTGAAGTCGAGTCATGTAAAAAAGAAACTTGTAATATTGTGTTTTCAAGTACTACCAGTCTTTTAGGAGCGATACGCGAGAACAGTCGTTGATCTAGAGACAATAAATCGGCAAGTTAATATTTACCTTAGTGGAATTCAGGACTACAACACCCAACTACTTCCACAATTAAGCGAGGTATTCCTTACAACTTAATGTATTCTTCTTCCAATTATGAAGGTCTTTTCAGGTCAGTATAAGTGCTCGTCCTGAAGCACTTCGTCGTATGTGCACCTCACATGCTAATCAGATTGTAAAACACTGCAACCAGGGCTTAAATGTTACTAATACGAAAGCATTAAGACTCATCACGGCCTTAACCTCTCTTTTATTACAGGTGAATCAATATTGTAAATGCTCCTGTTGAATGAATTGTTCAATGAATTTCCAGGTTCATTTTCTCGATTTTTGTAGATCCGCTCACTAGGACAACAGAAAATGTCTCCCATGGATCTCACAGCACTAAATGATTCTGTCAATGAAATTCATCAAATGGTAAGAAATTATGACAGTGAAATAGCGGCAACAAGGCATTTTTGTTTTGTCTTTGATACTTTATCAGTAAGCATATGAAAAATTTCCGGTACAGTATACATAAGCTTCTCCCAACGGTTTACCGCCTCATCGTGGCTGGGAAGTGTTCCTGGTGTGTCGGACTGCGATGTACAGCGGGGGATTCATCCCTGGCAGGGTCTCCCAAGCTGAGAAGGACTCCAGCGTTTCCATCAAGAAACCTAGTTAAAAGTAAACCAATCCCAGTATCCGCCACCGTCCTGGTATCAAAGTCGCATGGTGGCAAATCTCCCTCTGATCCACAAGGACTGCGACCGCCTGTGGTGGTGAAGACCTGGGGCAGACTTTTGCCAGGCTGACCTCGGGATTCCAGGGAACCGCAATGGCTTAACCCGCAAATCTCCGAAAAATTGTGATTATGCTGGGGCCCGCACAACCAGTGAGGGTGGGCCGTTCAACTATCAAGTATCAAGTAAATAAGTATACGTAAAGCAAAAAAGGGAAACGTACACATACATTGCCATTATGCTAGCTCATCGTTACTGAAATATTTGAGTTACATTGGGACACAAAAAATGTTAAGGCCTGGATAGAGTGAGCAGCTCTCTCGAGAACCTTAATGTCTATGTGCGAATTTATGTACCTATTCAAGTAGTCGATGACAAATGCGAATACTAATTTATTTGTTACTATGCTTATTCTTATAGTTATTACGATACTTTTTTATTTTTATGAGCTTTATCCGAGTAGTCGGTGGCGGAAATGACTCTTGTTGTTTCGATAAATTGGTAGTTTTAGTAAATAAGACTACGGGAATATGAGAAAATATCTTCACATTATTAAATGTCCATGTTTAAGGATGTAGTGTGTTGGAAGAACTACTTTGTACCTTTGACTTCGTGTAATATACAGCTACTTTTGCTATGACGCAGTAAAAGATATACATTTACACCGTAGTCAGTTTTTATTTACCGCTTACTACTTGTTAAATGGCAGTATATTATGTGAAATGTAACCATAATGATGCTGAGATATCTGCAAAACTCCAGACCGTTGGTGTTTGTGGTGGGGAGCGAATACGCTATCGCCCTTTCCGGAAACAAATGTATTTCGTTTCGCCTTTCTGTCAGCCGTGTTATTGACCTATAGGTGCTATCGCTAAACAAATTTAATTGTCTTTTTCACATCTCTTAACAGAGTTAGAACTGTTATTTAGTTATTTGTTTCAGATCTCGCCGAGAAACTATAACTGCTTCCAGGATCATGTAGAAGTACATATGAGACAAGTGCACAATGTAATGCTCAAAAGTGGAGCCATTTTAACGTAACCTCGTTTTGCAACAAACAGCCATGTAAATTCGAATTTCGTTTTATCGCTCAGTTTTATCTAAATTTTCCATGTACTTGCTGGATTCATCCATTGAAAGAAGCGTTACCTCCAGTTCCCAAGACCGAATTTCTTTTAACCTCGGCATTGATTGATAATTCGATGTTTTTCTTCAATAAACAGACACGAGGTTGTTATTATAGAATTTATTAGGATACAATAGCTGACGTTTCAGCGGTTTCGTCTTCTTCAGAACCGTTTATTTGTTGCACTGTACTGTCATGACTGTCATCGCCCATCTATTACTCTGTGCGGTTGCTATCCACCAATTAACTTAAACACTTACAACGAATAAACGGTTCTGAAGAAGACGAAACCGCCGAAACGTCAGCTATTGTATACTAATAAATTCTATAATAATAACTTCGTGTCTACTTATTGAAGAAAAACGTCGAGTTACCTCCAGTGATCATGAAGGGTTCAGTGGGGTAAAGATATTCTCGGACCCATCGTTTCATTGTAATTTAACTATGATTGCCCAAGTTTTTTTTTAAAAAATATGGTTATTGTTTTGGTTCAACGTAAAGTAAAAGTTTGTAATTATCAAACTGGAGATATGGGATGGACGGTTTTGTCGGATTATGGTTCTTTATGAGCCAAGGATCCAGTAATTAGCTGTTTAGTCGATATGGGCTTAATAACATCTGTTCAGATTAATTCGATGGATTTCGTATTCTTGAAAGTTTAAAAGGTGATGTCATCGGCGTTCATTCGACCAAATGCTTTTTTTTCTTTTCTTTTTGTTTTGGGTGAGGGAAGGAGGTCACAGTAGGAAGGTAGTCTAGTTCGAGCATTGAGGAGGCCTGTTGCCGTTTTTCTTACTCTGCCGTACGACTTTTTTATTCTTACTCGTTACAATGAAAGAGGCCATGCAGCATTGTCAAGGTTTTCAAAGGGACCCTCTTGGAAAGATTTCAAATTACTCAAGGTATGAAGGGTAAAGAGTTTGACGTTAATTTTTGCCACAGAAATGCAACATGGGTTTAAACTAATTGAATACATAGTTAGCCAAGCAGGAAACTGTCGTAGCCGTGTCGATATAGCAAGCAATTTTTATCCTACCAGAAAACTATGGTATTAGTTTGTTGACCCTGGACGAACAGTTGGTGCGGAGATTGGAATTGAACGATCATGTGTGCTGTAGGGTAACTCAGACCACTGTACTGCACGTGCTTTCCTTAAATTACTTGTCCCATTGAATTGGTTATATTTAGGAGATAGAGATAGATAGTAGATAGGAGTAATAGCAATGGTTTAGCTAGCAGGAAAAAAAGAAAAAAAAAACAAAGTTAACTCTAACTTAGTACAGCCAACCTAAGAAGATCGAAGATTCCTTGCCGTTGTTAAAAAACGAAAGTTGTCTCAATTTTTTATACTTGAAGTATTTGTACTTACCTGGAAACGGTTTACAGCTTCATTATGGCTGGGAGATGTGCCTGGGTGTCGGAGGATTCATCCCTGGTAGGGTCTCCCAAGCTGAGAAGGAGTTCGGAGTTTCCATCAAGAAGCCTAGCTAAAAGTAAACCAATGCCAGGATGCACCGCCGTCCTGGTACCAAAGTCGCATGGTGGTAAATCTTTCTCTGATCCACAAGGGCTGCGACTGCCCGTGGTGGTGAAGACCTGGTGCACACTTTGGCCAGGCTGACCTCGGAACTCCTGGGAACCATAATGGCTTAGCCAGCAAATCTCCGAAAAATAGAGATTGTGCTGGGGCCCGCGCAACCAATGAGAACGGAGCATTCAAATTCAGCTTCGAGTTCAAGATATATTTGTATCACAGTTCATATACTATGTTCAAATTGTAGAAGTATATGTGGATATTGTCTAAGGCAAGTTGGAGAAAACAGAGATTAGCGTTTAGATCTAGAGATCTAGAATTAGGTTTATTGACATTTATTGATTTTTATTTATTTTATTGGCCTCTTATGGTGTATTGACTTTTGCGGGTTGAGAACAGTTGCTGCTGAACAATCCGCAAAAATCCGTTTGGTATCGTGATCAGTACCTCATCGTGCATCTTAGAAAGTTGTATCTAAAAATAGTGTAGAGTTGTATAACTTTTTTATCTGTTGCCCACTTTTTTCATGGAAGGGTGTTGTGTAAGACATAACTGCAATGATTTTTCAAGAAAGAATACATATTGATTAATCACACCGAGGTTTAGGGAAGGTCGGTTTCGAAATATTACTACGCTTTGTGCTAGCTGATAATACACCGACCTCTGCACGATGTGCGCAGTGATGTATGTCCGGAAGAAATACAAGTTGTTACCACCGGACATTGTCATTACATATCCACCATCAGCATCGTGTATAAAAGGGCATCACTGAGTGAGGATGCCTCATTCGAGAAGATGGCTCGCTGAGGAAGATCTGGCTCGACAGGAAGGCGAAGACGCAACGTCGAGGCGAACAACAAGCATGGACCATCGACTCGGATCGCCGGCTCTGAGGAAGACGAAGACGTCGAAACGTTAGCCGAAAATAAATATATTTATCAACCTCGTGTAAGCTTATCAAGAAAGAATACATATAACTGCAATGATGTTGAGATATTTGCGAAACTACGGACCGCAGGTGTTTGTGGTGGAGATCGGACCCGTTGTAACCTTTTCCGCAGACTAACTCGTTCACCACCACACCATGTGGGTCCTTCGTTTCGCCTACCTCTCTTCTAATTTTCTGGCTACCAGTGGCACTAGCATTCACCCGTCAATATGATTAATCTAGGGAGCCTAAATCGGCATTAAACCAAGTTAAGTTCAGGCTGTAAATGGAGTGTACAGTTGTTTATACAATTTTAGAACCTTGATGGTTGAAGATTTGATATGGAAACCATATGGTGTTATCGGGCTACTGTATGCGATAGACCCCAACTACAACCACGGTACGCATCGCAGTTCCACACCTAGGCATACACTGCCAACAATGATAGGGTAGTGTACCATTAGGGAGTAAGAGATGCAAAGGAAAAAGGACTTTTGTTTTTCATTTATTTACGCTACGGCATGAAATATTTGGCAAATCTCGGCACTTCCTCCATTCGATTCGTTTTTGCGTATCCATAGTCACAAAGCTCTTCAAACTTGAGTGTGACTTTGGCTTCTGCTTGAAGATTTGGTCTTTTTCGTGAATAGCCTTGAAGGCCAGTCAAACAGATTCGCCCTGGGATCCATGAATAGGTGTTAGACGGCTTCGACACTATCACCACAGCTTTTTGTGGATCAGATGAAGCCCTTCCCAGAGAAGTATGGCAGCAAATTGTTGACCTCGGAGGGATGGAGTGCATGGTTTACGCGGCGCGGAATCAAACCAGTGATCGTACGCGTATTTTTCAATGGTACTTAGGTCAGCGCAAAAATAAATGTCGAATTTTGAACCACAAGTTTTAAAAGGTGTATATTGCATCCAACACAAATTTACTTATAAAAATTGGACCACTAGAATCAACACATCTTTATTAATAAGACAGAGGTTTTTTTATTTCAACGGTACCGAAATGTTATGTTCTAAATGCAACGAATTATTCGGAGGAATGGAGGGAGTTTTCTGCAGGAACTCGGTAGTCGAAGACCTCTCGGTAGTAGTTGTCTGAGTTCTTTGAAAATTCGTAGACGTTCAGGGAGAGTTTCGAAGAGTTCATTGGTTGAGGAAAGGTTTCGTGGGTCAACTGGTTTCGCTTTTGAGTGGTAGTTGTGTAACATGTGTAAACTGCTGTCGTGCATGAATAATGTACTTTTTCGCAAAAGTTCGTATTACAGGTGTCTGCGGTGGAGACCGAACACATTACTCTTTCTGGGGCGAACGCGTTTACAACCACACCATGAGGGTTCTTCGTTGGGCCATTCTCCCAGTCGTGAATCTTATGGTGCTTGTGGCGCAGTGGTTGGAAGCGTCACAGTGACACACACGCGGAATCGATCCCCACGCCCATGGCCCATTAAGCCTTCCATCCCTCCAAGGTCGGCAAATTGGTACCAGACTTGTCTGAGAGGATGGCAGCACTGGCTCGATACATTGATAGGCAACCGCGAGTCTTTGTAAAGGCCAGATATAAATTCATTCACCTCCGACGATACTTCGAATGCATGGCGCCTCCCTCACGGGTCGATCAACGCCGAGAGATTTTTGTCCTTTCATCAGCAGTCACCCATCAACGGGATTTATCTGGGTATCACAAATCGGCAGTGAACCCAGTTAAGCTGAAGCTGTAGTATAAATCACTTTGATCATTTTTCATACACTTCCTGTTCTTTTTTCTTACATAAAAAAGAAATGAAAAGAAGGAAAAAAGGATAGGTAGTAAATGCAAAGTGGTCACAATGTACTTTTTTCTAACGAATTCTGGGTCCGTGTGCTGGAATTTTAGCAGGCTGTCGTCGACTTCGTGACAGCACTTCGCTTCCGTGATTGTTTTGCCAAGATTCAAGACTTTTCAATAAACGATTTCATCTGCCGAAGAAGAAAAGGTGTCGTAACCCTTTTATGAGGGGTGGATAGCACAGTGGTAGTGATGTCCGTCTTTACGAGCATGGTGCTAGTTCGATTCCGGCTCGGGCAAACCAAGGCTGTCATTTCTCCAGGGTCGGAAAATTGGCACCGGACTGGTCTGGGAAAAGAATCACTCTGCAATCCATTTTGGAACGCTCCATCCTGGCTATCTCAGGACTCCAGGGAGAATTGTTCGACTGGTATTCTACGACATTCAAGATGAAATGAAAATCCTCAAGCAGCAACCATAGCCAGACGTTAAAAGTGGAAGATCTTCGTGGACAATGGGTACGGGGAAACAAATCGAATGTGAGAAGTGCTGAGATCCGCATGGTTGGCGTGAAGATGAGTCATATAAAATGAAATTAAAAAAACCCTTTTATGGCGCCAATTTTGGCTCACGTAATGTTCTAAGCCTCACCTATTTCAACCTCTTTACTGGACATCTC